ACCAGATGGAGTAACTTCAGCAATGATAAAAGTACTATATGACATTTCCCCACATGAACTCTGTAATATGGTTAATTACTCTTTGAAAACTTCTTGGATACCGGCGGATTGGAAACTTTCCAAAATAATTCCGATACTTAAAAAACAGGGGCTTGGGTATACACTTGACAATGTGAGGCCAATTTCTCTTACATCTAATTTGGTTAAACTAACTGAAAGAGTTTTGAATGCACGTGTGATAAAATACATTGAGGAGAAATCAATATTGAACCCCAGTCAAATTGGTTTTAAATCGGGATGCTCCATATGGCGTGCGCACGCGGATTTGGAGAGTCGTATACAGTTGGCTAGGCGTAGAAGAGAGTATTGTGCATTAGTTACTCTGTATTTGGCCAAGGCGTATGACAAAGTGGAGCATAAAATACTAATAGAGCAGATGGAAAGGTCACATTTACCAAAATACATCACATCATGGGTAGCAGAGTTTTTAAGGGAGAGAGAGTTTTATTGCTTTCAAAGGGGTTGTTTTTCTAACAGATATCGACAATACCGTGGCGTACCACAAGGTGCAGTGCTCTCACCGGTGTTGTTTAACATCTTCCTCAGTTCGATTCTAACACATAGCGATATTCATTTATATCTTTACGCAGATGACATTGCTTTCTTTGCGACAAACAGTGATCTGCAATTACTTTATCAGACATTACAGAATTACCTAAACATGATAGAGGAATGGCTTCAAAAAATTGGAATGTCTCTAAATGTAAACAAAAGCGCGCTTCTAGCGTTCTCGTTCAGGGATCCTGTTAACATCTCCTTGATGTATGGCACAGAGCAGATTCCCCAGGTGGATTCACTTAAATACTTAGGCATCATATATAACAGCTCGTTAAATTGGAAAAGCCACATCGATCACATTGCGTCCAAAGCAACACGAGCCATGGGGTGGTTACGCAAGCTCAGCAACATAAAAAGGGGGTTGCGAAGAAATACATTGGTAATGGTCTATAAAATGTACATTCGTCCTATCATGGAATTCGGCTGCGTCTTATTTTCGGGCAGTGCGACATATAAAATGAGAGCGCTAATACTATTAGAAAGGGAGGCCTTACGACTGTGCCTTGGACTGCCCAAGTTTGTTGCTAACAACGTGCTATACATGGAAGCGCGTCTACCGTCATTGTTAAATAGATTCAAAATGCTTACTATCCAAACATTTTTAAAACTATACGCTGTGCCCCAGAGAGCATCCTTTTATGCTTTTATTAAAGAACCAAGTTTATTTTTGAAACTTGGTGGTCACGATTCCACTGCCCACAGATCTTGTTCGTTCAAGCGCTGCTAGAACCACTGAACGTCAAAATAAAACATATTTTCACATCAAGAGACGTTAACTTAGATCTTATGATAGAATTTGAGAATATTTATCCCTCTAACGCAAAGCAAATGCCATTTCAATATTTAAATGATCGGCTGCAGGATTACTTGGCGCATTTGAACTTGAACAACATAATTGCGACCGATGCATCCGTATCAAATGAAAAGGCTGGGGCAGGTATCTTCTCACGTTCCCTTGACTGGTCCTTTTCGGTTAGACTCCCAGATTACACACCAATATTCATGGCAGAATTATTTGCTATTGTACTGGCACTACGGAAACTTCCTTTGGGCGAATCGGAAGCAGTCGTAATTACAGATTCTTTTTCAGTATGTGCTGCTCTGTCTTCAGGAGCCAACTTAACACTTATGCACATGTTTCGACAACTCATACCGACAAACTTGAAAAAACTGCAGCTCTTATGGGTACCAGGTCATCGTGGCATATATCTCAATGAGATGGCGGATGCACTAGCCACAGTATCTCTTAGCGGTCCCATTATCCCGATTTTGCCTGATACGGCTTACGCGACAGCAATAAGGTTTAGAAACCTCTGTTTGCGTGAATACGACTGCTACTCATTGGATAAATATCGAGATTTCGCACATCTAAGATGCCGCTGGAATAGACAGTGGTGTGCAACACGGCACTTGGAAGTTACTTTTACAAGATTGCGTTGCAGAATTCCTCAACTGAATTATTATTTGCATAAAGTTGGTCTAAAGGCGTCACCTTTATGTCAGACTTGCCAAAAAATGGAAACGATAGATCACTTCTTTTTGTTCTGTCGCCGGTATTCTCATCAGCGGAAAAGATACCTGGTAGCTCCACTTGAAAAATTGGGATTAGAATTAAATGTGGCAGTAATTTTGTCGTTTGGCAGCATTAAATTCGGTTATAGCCACAGGGACGTCTGCTCTGCGGTATTTGAATACATAATTGAAACAAAGCGATTGCCATGTTAATCTGCCTATATATGTATATATATGTGTGTGTGTATGTGTATATATATATATATATATATATATATATATATATATATATGTGTGTGTATGTATATATATATATATATATATAGACCCACCATTACCTCTGTCTCAAATCGCATCTGATGGCCTGCATCGCTCCCTGCTCAGATATACTCCTTTTTCGATTTTCGGCTTTCCTTTCTATATTTTTTTTAGCCCAAAATTACGTTTTCTTTGAAAAACCATTAGCCTTTTAGCTAAAATCCTGCCGCCCGGTTCTTGGCCGATCCCCCTTTGTGGGTGTGCGCCAGAGTGTCAAGGATCATCATCATCATCATCATCGGTGTCAATATTCTCGCAAATATTCACGTCTCATCTCATTTTACGCAATATATTTGCGTAACAGTATCTACCCAGAAGAGGCAACATACATTTGTAACTTAAACGGGTGCGTGCCAATAAAATGTGGCACCAGTGGGGATGACCTGACGTATATGCATAGAATAGAAAAGAGGATACCAGAAGGAACCAAACCCAGGTATTCTTAGTGGGAATCGGGGCGGGAAAGTTGTGATGGTAGCTTTATCTTGAGCAAACTGTTATGCCGCCTTTGGTTGGGTGTTGCATTCACAAAGGTGTACTCATTTCGCATTGGTATGGCAGACACCTCTACATGCGACTACTGCGGAGCTGAAGAGACCATTGAACACGTCCTGTGCAGCTGCGCTTGCTACGACACACAGCGATGCCAGCTCCGGATGGTTTTGAATCAACTTGGCTCCGGACCATTTTGTGTGCAGAAGATTCTAGGACCTTGGGCATCTGCCTCAGTTGCGCAGAAAGCGACTAAAGCACTCCTGCGTCACTCAATGTCAACAAATCATAGCGACCACCAGTAGACTGTGTGTGCTCCCCCGAGTGTGATCGTGATTGTGTGTACCTTCTTATCTCTCTGCAACCTCTTTTCTCCCCTTCATCCTTTCCCTAGTGCAGGGTAGCAAACCAGATGCGCATCTGGTTAACCTCCCTGCCTTTCCTTGCATCTTTATCTCTCTCTCTTTCTCTTAGTGGCAATCAGTTATTCTACAAAAGAGACAAGCCACGTCTTCAAACTCCTTTCGAAACATGTTAGGGAAACTGACGTCATTAGTTGTTGCAGTGCTGGCTTTCTATTTTTATGGCAAGGTAATGAACATTACTTATGTACCCCTAATGCTGTGACCCAGACGTCATGTCCTTTAAATGCCAATTTTATTTGAAGTACGTGTTGGCTGCGCTTCTATAACCGTCGAATAAACTTTACATATCCGTGCTTCTAAGACTCAGCAAGTTGTTATCAGGCATCGTTCGACCAAGGAGCAACACTGTGATGAATGCTAAGTATGATGTTCACAGCATCGCACGGAAAGTATGGATCACTACACAGAATCCGCCTTCGCTTGAGTAAAAATGACATCGCCTCCTGACATTATGTCAGATCATAAGTTACTCTTGAAGCATCAATGTAGTTGGCATAGCTGGCCAGCCCACTACAGTATGTCCACACAACAACTCCATTCACAAGAACATGTTGAAACACTTCGTTATGCTTGACACTAAGCTAAAAAAAATGTACCATAGACTTGCTCACTGTTTCACATAATTCTGCTCCACAATACACGTGGGATATGCCGAATTCTTCCTAATACTTTGTTATTGTGTCTACACGTTAACATTTTCCCCCTAGACAGTCCTTTTTTTATAAACTTCGTATACAAAAAAAACGTTCATATCGCATTCCCTCTTCGTTTTTCTTTACTCGATTCTTCACCAACTGCACTTGTTCTTTCGTTGTAGTTGTTCTCCGCTCCCGTTTTCTTCTGTTTTTTCTTTGCTTCGCCGACCCTAAAATTTTAACAGATAATGCAATATTCTCTCTTCATACACTTCACCTACATTTCAGCAGCCCAAGGCACAAACAACAGCCACACAGTGAATCAAAAGCTACATCCACCCGCGTGCCCTCGCTGCAATTGAGTGCGCCCGTTCCGGCACCCACGTGCCATTAGTTCTCCGTTGCAACCGGCAGAGGTGCCACCAGTCCAAACTAGCCCAGCGCCTGGTGAAGATGCAACGAACTTCGCACAAGGGACCCGCGGCTGGAGAAGCCAAAGTGCGACATGCGAAGCTGCTGTTTACGAGCACGCCGAATACTGATAGCATCGGGCACATACCATTTTCCGAAGCAGCCGAGATGGGCGAGAAGCCCTCTAATAAACATATTTTCCAGGGCAACTCTGATAAAGGCATGGTTAATCGCAACTTCACCAAAAAAAAAAAAAGGAAAGGACAGAAAAGAAGACACGTACATAGCCAAGTCGGCTGGTAAAGAAAGCACAGACAAGTATTTTGGGTGCCGGATTTCACATGGGACAATGCCAGGACAGGCTTCGTTTGGATTCTCTTATGCCAATGCTGTGAGACCCCATGCTAAGAAAACCATGACGAGAGCACCGCGTTATAGCCGCATAGACAAATAGACAGACAGATAGAACCGGATTAAGTTTTTTTTTTGATCACCAATAAATTTTTCGCATATAAAAACGAGTGTACAATGGCGCATATTAAGAATACCATGCATTACACATAGAAGTTGGCATTGTATTTATTTACAGAAGCACCTGCAGGAACATTTTGCGGCCAATGAAGAGCAAGTGCGAGCAAGCGAACATTTGGTGAGTATCTTTGAGAATTGCGTGCGTTAAACGCCTTCTTAGGTTCGATACCTCGAATGTCGAGTCACAGCGCAAAATTGTTGGAAATTACTGTTCCACGCTACAAGATTATGATACCTGAAAGTGACTATGCCACGAACTATAATTTTCCCATCGCTTTGCCCACTATGCATCGCTATCGTGTTTTCTGTATGTCAAGCTTCTCAATTAATTTCCAAGTTTGCATTAAATGCTTTGTTCAGCGACACCCCATTCCTAGCCTTCTGGCATTACGAAACCATCTGTGATAAAGATATGTGAATAAAGACAGCGAAAGTAATTTTGAGGTTACGGGTTCGACTACATATTGGGGCAAAATGTAAGGACACGCGCGTTGCATGCCTGCTATTATAAACACCTGCTGGTCAAAAGTCAATCTGGAGTACCTATGGTATTACTCATAACTATATTATAGTTATGTCGATAAGTATAGTACTCACGGATTGTACGAGGACGATGCCGAGCTAAGTAAAGCCCATACTTTAGTTCCAGCAATCTTCTGTTCAGGTCATATTGGCATCATTTAAACTCGATCGCGTAGATCAGAGCTAACATTATCTGTAGAGACCAGATTCGTCACGACATGTCGTGTTTATCTCCACGTATTGGGCATACCAGTCGTTGCGCCGCGAAACTTGATGTCTTGTTTCAATCCATGAGTACTCTACGTAAAAATTGAACTATATAGTGATCTCAGTCGCGCAATCTGCCTTTCTAGCCACTGTACAGGATTCTTTATATATATATATATATATATATATATATAGATTTAAAAAAAGCGTTTATGATGCCCTTTCCGGCGACAACCAAATCACTATTTATATGACTTTCTTCAGAGAGCAAGATAAGATGAATTTGAACGCTCTCTTTTCAAGAAATATTCTAGCCTAGAAAAATACAGTGGACATTATCTGCAGTGACTATAATAAAATGCGATGAGAATAAAATGAACAAAAATACAATTTGCGGCAACAAGAGGCAGAACCTGCAGCATTCAGATAACGTGCCCAGTGCTCTACCAAGTGAGTTAAGGCAGTTGTCTGTCGAAACTCAAAAGCTGTGCAATGAAACAGCACACCAACTCCAGAACATTGGAAGGCTGCGCTGTCCTGCTAGAATCGTGAGGAACAGCTGAACTGAAAACACAGCTCGCAAGAGGGCAAAGGCCACAGGGCATCTGGACTGCGGGCTCCACCTTCGACAGAAGAACTTCTTTGCTATAAAGTCTTCATTCGAAGTAATTCCTCCTGTACACTTAATCCGCGGCTGATAAATTTACGAGGATCGTCCTCAACCTTGCCTGGTTCTTTTAGGAATCCAGGTATTCCTGTCATCATTGTGGTTTTGCTTCACTCCGCATGTGTGATCCCCATCACACTCAAAGAAGAAGCTTTTTCAGCAAACTGGCAAGGTTTGGTCTGCGGGCTTTGTCCAATGTGTCTATCGCCTCTTTTCTTATAGCCGAAAAAAAGTGCATCAGCCGGATGCCAGCCAGAGAGGCTTCTTATTCAATTGGCTGAATAATTTCTATATTTTTTTTTCAGGAGAACGCCGAAAAGCTGGTTGATGATCACCCTCTGTCAACCCAGAGCCATAAGGACAATCGAACAACTGAACAGCCCGACATGGTGTGTTGCGGGTGGTTGTATATTGCTTTTTACGGGGCCCAGCAACACCTTTCCTGTTAATCGCAGGTATATCGTGCTATGAGAATTTATCACCTCAGAAATCAAATGTCTCAAAAAATTTTCGAACCGCCCAAGTACAAGGCACCTGCTTTGAGCTATTTTTCTCTGTTTTTATCTCGACGAGCTTGCTGAAAGCTGCATGGAAAGAAAAGGAGGTGTTAAAGGGGAGTGCGAAGGACTAGTGAGAAAAAACCATCGTCAGCACACGTCATGACTGTCTTGCTTTGATAAAAAAACTGAACATAGTGTATTTAAAATTCACCAAAGTGCGTTTGGTGAAAGCCTGTGATCCTTGGAAGGAATATGCCATGTTGTTGTTTTGTTTTGCATGGCACACCAAGCGGAACAGACACAGGCTTTCGCCAAACACACTTGGGAATGTGGTCTTGTAACATTACCTATGCGCCACCATGCCATTCTATGAATGCTTAGAGAGTGTGGTGGAAAGAGGCCTCAGCTGGTAATATTTCCGGGCACAGATGAATGGAAAATCAGACGCCATGAGTATGAGCCATTTGGAGCTTTCGCCTTAAAAACAGAGGTCACTTCGTGCCATATGACAAAATAGGAAGAAAGAGGAGAACGTGAAAAGAGCCGGTGTTAAAAAAAAAGCACTCCAAGCAATATGAAAAATGTGCTACAGGAGCACCATACGTGTTTCCTCTGTGATGCGTGAATGAACAGAACTGGGAAAGTGAGCTATCTGTAGACAGCAAAAGTGGAGCGAATTTCGCAGCTCAATGCCGTGCACATAAGCATGAATCATGTCCGAATAAAATTACGATTCTTGTCAAAAGTAAATATACTACCACACGATAATTGTTGGAAGCTTTCCTGATCGAAAAAATCTGAGATAGGTGTATGAGCGGAACATCTATTTTCCTCCTACCAGCGGATGACATCTCTTAGAAAATGTGTTGACGCTGTTCTGATGTGTGGAAGCATGTTGTTTGGCACTTTGCGCAGAACCAAATTTGTTACATAACATGTGTGCTATGCTACAATAATTGAGTAAAATGTTAGCACTGACTTTGTCCCTCTTCCCTCACCTTTTTTTTTGTCATACTGTGCAAGGAACCATAGCTTTTCTGTTTATTAAAAAAGCAAGAAAAATAAAAAACCGGCCAGCCCAACAGCAAGTACTTCTGGGTGTCATAACGTTCTGTAGATTCATTTATTTGTCCTTTAAGCGCGTTTGCCCACTTTCAGCGTAATCCTAGCTCATCACAGATTGCAGCGCCATCACGTGCCGGCTCTCCATGGCAGGCATGGTAACTATGCAGCACGAGAACATTTCAGTCAGCAAACGGCCGTGTCTGCCCTTCGTATGACGTATCGCGCTCAGTGGTGACGTAGATCACAGAGAGAAGAGTAAGCGATTTTCAGAAGTATTTGAAACGTAATTGGTAACTTCGCGCCGTGTTCAGGGCTGTCATGACCGGCGACACCTTTTTTCCAGGATCCTCGAGTAGCATTCCGCAGCACTTGTTTACACTAGCCGTGTAAAGCTTAATAAACAGCGAAGCTGGCTTATCTTAGGAGGTTCAACGTGAACTTCTCTCCTGACACTACGTCTTTCTTTGGTGTATAGTAGAATCACAAGCCCATGCAAGAATGTCGGAACTCCAGCACTAGATCTAACGTGCAACGCTGGCTGTGGCACATCCAGTAGAAACACTGGCCTATCTGCTCTTGTATTCAGCTCGATCAATGGGAAAACTCACCACGGTGATCTCGCGCACTGTCTGGGTTGTTGTGCGTGCGGGATAACCAACGGCGCGTGACAAGCGATGAGGGAGAAGGTTTTTTTTTCGCGAACATTTGACGTTTTACCTTGAGAATCAAAAAGTTCACTCTTTAAAGTGTGAAGGAACTCTTATAACCTTGTTTTGTTAACAGTGTCACCGGACCTTCTCGAGAAGCTGTACATCGTAGCACGCAATTGGCGCACCTGCAGGAGCGTTGCATGTAGTATGCCTCAAATTGCACATAACCTCAGAGGCTGTCACCCACTGGCAAGATTTTTCTAGTCTTCGCAGCATACCCCAGTCTAGGGGAGATAAAACCTTGTCGCATCTCGGCTTAACACAAAAGAACACGACGGTGACGTCCGTGGAGAATTTTCGTTGTAGTTCCTATATTTCACATATAAAGCACAAGGAGGCTCGTTTCACGTTGATACCATTGTTAGAACACAGCTCTCACACACCTTTTTCTATACCGTGCCGTGACCACGTGTAACTGTACTTTGTTCTAGGAGCTAGAAGACGGCACATCCTTGGTTTCGATGGACACCTCTGGTGATGAGCAGAGAAAGGAAAGCGACAGAGGCGATGCTTCAGGATCAAAAACATGTCCATTAGGTGCAACGACATGGGATAAAGAAGAGTATTTGGTAAGAACGAGCACTTCGTCTTCTAATGTGTAGATTAATTTAATTTTCTAAATTCTTTCATTCAGTGTCAACAGAAAGCTTGAGTTTTGTACACCTTGAGTACTGTTACAGAATTTATTCTAGAAATTCGTCAACTGTAGCCTATGTCACATTTATTGGAGAGTAGAGAGAGAGAGAGAGAAAGGAAAGGCCAGGAGGTTAACCAGATATTGGCATCTGGTTTGATGCCCAGCGCGGGGGGCGGGGAAATGGGGGCAAGAAAGAGGGGGTAGATAGAGAGGGAAAAAAAAACGCACGCGCACTCATGTGAAAACGAAAACACACACAGGAAGGACGTCCAAGCTGCAACCGTTTAGTAAGGCCGGTCGATCGCAAAAAGTGTAGTAGCGCTTTCAGGGCCTTCTTCTGTGAAGTTGCATCTTGTCGATATTGTAGAACTCCTTGCTCCGACATAGGTTGATTATCTAATTTGATGAGTTTCTTGCGAAGGCATAGTCGTTGTTTACCATACTCTAGGCAGTCACAAAGAATATGTTGGATCGTTTTCTCTTTGCCACAGTGGCCACAGGCTGCGGTATCGGCCATCCCAATGCGGAAAGCGTAGGCGTTGGTAAACGCCACGCCCAACCACAGCCTACATAACAAGGTCTGGTCTGCTCGGCAAAGCCTCGAAGGGACTTGAAGACTTAGCGTAGGACCAAAAGAGTACAGTCGGGCATGCTTGAAGTGTGGCTGATTTCATTGTGATGTGGTTTGCTGGCGAGCAAGCCTGCGGAGCTTTTGTGCAGCATCTGTCCTAGAAAGTGGTAGTCGTAGTTTATGATCTTCTGTGTGGGCTGAGCGGGCAGTTTGATAGGCCCGTTCATTGCCGATGAATTCGCAGTGACTCGCATTTATTTGGAAATCTCATATTTCATATGCGTAATACGTGAAGAACAAACAAAATTATAAAATGACATCGCATGTTCCTGTTACCATAGGGAAATATGTTTATTTCTTGGACCCTTTCTTATAATATATACTGTGATTTTGCAGCTGTAAGTAGAGAGTGTAAGATTATGAAAGGCATGAACACCAATGAGAGATTAGTGGCAATAAAGAGACGGTAAAGTTGAACAAATAATGGGTTTAGATTGATAAATTGTACTCCTAAATATGCTAATGTAAATAAATTGACCATTACACGTTCATTAGCTGAGGAGAAACTCGTGGTCACCGTTTCAGTTTTGAATTTCACGCCATACCTGCCATCATAATTATAAAGTTTACTTATTGTGTTTGCGACAATGCCTCAAGAAAATTTCTTTAAACACGGAATGTTAAGTCTATGCCCCGGCAGAGGACAGACTGCTTCATATATACCAATTAGGACTTGCATGTGCTATAGTAGATGTCACCTAAATTCATGACGTCATGGGGACCTGTTACAAAGTTTCAAGGAGACTTGGCCACCCACTTTTCGTTGTTTTCTAGTTTTCTCGCTTACCACACATCTTCCCGTGACTGGCTGAGGTTCTTGGTATCATGACAGAGTAAGCCACTACTAGCACGGGAGAAACTGTTTTCTCTTCAGTGTCCCTTTAGGTGAGTTTGCCGGACTCCTAAAGTTCCCAATCAAATACGTTGACTTTCTCGATAGTTTTGAGCCTGCTCGCTGAGACAGTTGCTTCGCAATGCGCTCGATGAATAGGGACGACCAGACTTTTTTAGAAGAGAAAATTCTGCGCCATGGACAGGCCTTGACGTCAAAGAAGAAGGCCGTATGGGTGCTACTGAATTTTTCACATTCGATCAGCCTCTCCCAACTACTATACCTGGAACAAGCTGCATGTGTGCGCATTTGTAGATCCTTCGTTTTTATTTTATGTGTATTTATCCCTGTCCTTTTTCCGATCGCTATTTCCAGACCCTGTGCAGTGTAGAAAGCCAGTTAATCTCCCTCTACTTCTTTTCATCTATTTCTCCCTCACTCTCTTTGCTATTCATTACATAAGACGACACTTCTACAAAGAGTGAGATGGTGTAGTACGTGTCTCTTAACCGTGCATATTAATGTGCGCACTTTTCCTATGGCGATGCAGGAGCACTTGAAAGCATGCGAGGAGCGCCTTACGAAGTGCTCGGAGTGCATGCAAGAAGTGAAATATAAACACTATGGCAATCACCTACTGGAGTGTACAAAAAAGGACGACAAGAAAAAATCAGACCGGACGTTAACGTGAGTAAAGCACCATCGCATGACTTGGTGAAAGAAGTAAGATCATTATAAAGAAAACCTGCACACTGGCTTTCCCTATGGGTATGCTAGCTTCACTATCGAAACACTCAAATTTATTATATAGTAGGATAATCATAGGATGAACAGGTGAAGTGCCTCAGGCTGGTTGGCCGACGATTCGATAGGAGGACCTATCTTTTTCAAAGGTGCCGTGTCATCCTTGGAGTGTTAGTTTTAAAGAGGTTGGTGATGACGTCACCACTAACCCCTTTAAAACTAACACGCCAAGGATGACATGGCGCCTTTGAAAGGGAAACGTCCTCCTATCGAAACGTCGGCCAGCCAGTCTGACCCCCGCATTCTAGAACATCCCTTTACTCAACGCTTCACCTTCACTTGGAAAAGCCGACGGGAGCGCCATCTCTAGGCACGGCAAGTCACTGAATGTCAGCGATAATCTGCTGCCATTTTGGAGTAGCGGAGCGTCATTTTTGAGCCGAGCTGCGGCGCAGTAATCAACTCTGTCAAGTGAAGGGTGAAAGTCGAGTCAAGGAGCGTTTGCGAATATGGGGGTGAGGCACTTCATCAATTCATCTTATGATTGTCCCACAGTATACGTTGTTTTCATCTGTCGGCTCTCATCGAGATTTAGAATTTATGATGTAATTCTTTACAAAGAGATCATTCAATAACTCTTCCACACGCTTTGACTATAGTATGGCTCCAGATAGTACATCTCTTTTAATATTTAAGTAAAAATGGCTTTCAATATTTAAAACATCTCAAGTTGCCTTGCATTTCTTGCAAGTGAAATAAATCTTGATAATATGAGGCTATGCCCGCGCAGAGGTCGATAAATCAATTAGTTTTATTCATCATAAGTACAGTGTATAAGCAGACCTGACTGGTTTTCTTCAGATTTTGGCTTTGTTGCTAACAGACGTATTCACTGGCAAATCAATATTTCCCCGCCAGCGGCTGTGTTTGCAATTTTGCACATCAAACGTAGAGGCTTATATCGCAACATGTCATTATTCTACTAGCTTGAAAGGCACCCTGAACGTGTGTTAGCATGTGTTTTTTAAAATATCATATAGTTATTCCTGTAAATGTTTTCAACTTTCTAAACAGGGGCCACTACATACATCGACTATGATTCTCGCTCATGCACTTTAATATTTACTGAAAGCTGCAGCTCTTAATGAATTCATTAGCTTGTACAAATAAATTAGTTTTGCTTGCAGTATTTGTAAAGTAAGTTTGAGTGCTAAAGAGAACGAGACAAAAAAAAAAGACGATGACTACATGGCTACACACCCGCAGACAACTTTTCTTGCAAATTGAATTCACAATGAACCAACGCACCCAACAGAGCGTTTTCTTAAGCCGATCTTTGATTCTGACCGATGTTGAAATAACTCATTGCATTTCTACTGAACATGTTCTACCGTTTTCTCAGTTTTCCGCAACTCGAGAATATTTATGTACTGAGCTGCATAAGCCAGTCGCACAGGTTTCAACTTACGTGCTATGAGGTAGCGGTTATAAGTTGACAATTTTCTAAACATGTGACCAAATGTCTTTTTTTTTTAAGAATGAATAGAATAGGACTCGCCACAACGGGGGTAAATGATTTCATGAATATGTATTTAGGTTATTTGTTATTCTTTGTTGTTTCAGATGTGCGAAAGCGAAACACCCTTCGTTTGGGAACTACGAACACGCTGAGGACATAAGTGAGAGACGTCAGAAGGTTGAAGAAGTAGAAGCACTAAAGCGAGCCATCAAAGTAAGTAAAAAACTACGGTTATCTAGAATTACAAAAGCTCTATTTAGGCTTATAACATGATGTAGAAAGTAATCAAGTTGTTTTACTTAGGGCCTGTTTTAATATGAAAAACAAAAGAAAATATGTGGTATACACTTTGTCAATTGCTAACTTTTGGATGATATTTCTCACAGTTTTTTTTCTCGAGCCATTATCTTCATAAGCCTTACTGACTCATACAGTGCATGAGCCATGAAAGTGGAGCTATAACCAACAATTCCCCAGAAAAAAATGCGATAATAATATTTCTAGATTTGCGCATTGTTTTGTGATGAATGTGCGCCTTCATGACGGCGGAATGATTTTCGCTGCCTATTCAGAAATTTCTATAGGCTAACCACCCAGACAAAACATGGCGCGTAACTGGCAATCCAGAGTTCTCATGACGTTCTGGAAGCATTATATTTCGGATATTTGAAGTGTTAGGCGTGACGCCGACTATAGATGAAGATATCGTACATACATACACACACAGCGTGCCTGTGTGTGCGTACTTTCTCTTTGTGCATGTTCATCATCACACCTCACAGTTCAAGTATTCTGAATCATTACGCCCTATCCGCCATTCTTATTTGAATATGTAGACACAAATGCTATATGAGTAATACTGCTTCTTACTATAGATTATCAAGTATTTTTGTATTTAATGCATTCTTAATCAAACTGGTCAATGAAATAAACTCATGTATGTCTCATCTCAATGTGATTTTAAAACCCGTAATAGCTTTTTTAAGGATGTCTAATAAAATGCTGATTATTGTCTTGTGTTCGTTATTGAACATGGTTCATGGCAACGAATTTTACTTAGACTATTACAGTTTTTATAGCTTTGGTCTCTTAACTTTCGTGTTAAAGTGTTTCTATTTTCATTTTTCTTTGCATGCTGTGCAATGAGCAGTGCAATCACTTTTTTATAACTCACAAGAATTCACTGGATTCGTTCTTGCTCCCAAGCGTGCAAGTCCAAGGTAAAGGCCTCGTGAGAAGTCACACGAGTTTCCTTTTACCTTAGCTCGTGGACATATTTCATGATTTGAATTGTGTATGTATGTCTGAAATAAACAAGTACTAATTGTTTTCAAAATATAAACGTTTCCGTATTCGAGATCCGTCTGATGTAGTGTGCTCTATATCTGCGCAACGTGAGAGGACAGTTTAGGTACTTGCTAGCGGAATATTTCTGGTAGATTCTCAGTTCAGCATGGCTGTTTGTTACCGCTGCTGGTGCACTCTTCAGGCTTCACGCACTAACCCCAAACGAAGCGCTGTTAGAGTGCCGCATGGGGTTAAATAGAAGCCTTTAGAATTCGTCATTTGAAAGGTCTTGTAACGTGTGTTGATCTCTTTTTCTTCGAGGCGCTGGAAGAAAGGATTGAACATTTGGAGAAGCCATTGGTGAAGATCATCCAAAAACTTCGTGAGAACGCTGAGCGGCGGAAATATTGAACAGAGCTTACAGCATGAAATATGTCTTCAACGCTGAGAAATCCCCTGTGACGCAGTGCCTGTCAAGACTGACAGGTTGCTATTGAAGAGTGCGACAATGAATTTAAGGCCTACAGTGAGTTGGTGGAAGCAATTTCGGAGGCCCATACCTGTGATATTTCATTTCTATGTTGTGTTGTTTTCAGTGCAATCATAAAATGTTCTATTTTCATAGTATTTGAAAATTTCTAAGCACCTGGAAATAGGTCATATTTTATTTATCCTGTCAAAAATAATGGTGATTTTACATTGCTGTTTTCTTGCACAATAGAAAATAAACACTTTAAAAATGCGTTTCTACTGTTTAAGTCTTGAGGCTCAACAGCCGATCACCTTACAAGAAGCAATAGTTAACTGAATGTTCCAACACTTTTTCTTGACCAAACAGTGATTCTTACACCAGAAACAAAGTATTTATTGAAGAAAGTATACAGGTTGACATTCCGACCATATTTTATTACCTTCCCGCAACAGGAGGCGAAAACATTCCAAAAACATTGTAAAAACAACTGAGTTATCTCTAACACACCCTTCTAATAGCACCTTAAGAAACCAAACCTCTCACAAGTGAAACACTAATCCGTTCAGTCCTTTTATATGCATATATAGTTTGGAATCCATTAGAAAAACAATCTTGACAAGATTGATTCCATTCAAAAGAAAGCTATTAGTTTTATCTACCGTCGTTACGTTAGAAACTTTTCACCCTCTTCAAATTATTTTAATTTCAGTCTGACCACTCTAACACGTCACCAAAACGAAGGCCTAAAGCTTATGTATGCCTTGATCGAGTCCCCATGCTGTAAATCAGTACTTTACAGTACTGCTTAAATCAGTACTTTCAGTTTCCTGAGCCTTTGTGTACTCGTACCACAAGTAATTTTAATCTCTTGATACTTATATTTCGAACCCATTTGTGAGACTATAGCTACTTTTCTGCAACAGTTGAGCATTAGAATGCTTCGCCTGTTTTTTTTTTTTCGTGCTTTGCCAATGAGCGATATTTTGTCTGCGCTCTACATGTGATTTTATCTCCACTTCTGTAAAAGCCCATGATGAGCAGCAGTAAGTATGTATGAAAGAGTGAATAAATAAATAAATAAACGTGAATGAACAAATGACTGAATAAATAAATACAAAGTGTTCTCAATCGCTCAATTCAAAACTAGCGCTCTGGCGCTTCTCGGCGTTAGCTGCTGATGGTTCACAAAACGAACAGGGATGGCAGCGAACGCTCTGCAGGCACGTCCTAGTGGGCCAACTAGAGCTTTTCCACAGGGCCTGTGATGACAGAGTGCTCGGCTTCGGTAGCCTGTCGTGGGAGCAGGCCGCATCTGTCAGCGGCTGAATTTTGAGGAGGTACATGTTTTTTCTAGCATACCGTACCATAGTATAGCGTACCGTACCATACCATAACATTACGTAACACACCCTACCAAATTATACAACACTACATCGTACAACTTCAAGCCATGCTACGCCACCCCACGCCACGCCACGCCATGCCATTCCATATCAAACCATAATGAGATGCAATACCGTTTGAATTCACCCCTTGCCCAGCTGTAGTATATTAGTAGTTAAAGTGTAGCCCCAGTGAGTCTGATGACACGGCTTTGATTGCTGGCCACGAAACCACATTTTCACACTGTTTAAATAAGGAAACAAATCTGTTACGCAGATTACGTAAGCGTTCAAAACTAACAGTGCCTCCTACGAATTCGCCTTAGTCCACGCCACTTTTTTTTTTCAGTCGATGCATTGATCCTTACCCGCCCCCTGGGAAAACTTTCTCTGCTTCAGCAGGTTTTGCACGGCCTTCGTAGTCAGCTCACCTTCGGCCAGGCAACAATGTCATTAGACAATGTCATCACGTGATCTCACGTAACGTGTAGCTTAGTGACTTTATGTCGAGCTCATTTTGGCGTCAAAACTTTAGTCCATGGGCGATGCCCCTACAGAATGATAGCGGACACCCAATTTCAATTTTTGTATTTTATGGGACATCTAAACTGTAGGCCCAAAGAGCCACTAAAGAGAGTAATATGTTTTTTTGTGTATAAGTGAAATACAATTCCGCAGTCCCGAAAACGCCCCTTCTTATCGCGAGACGATGCTTTGCAAGCGAAAAAAATGCCCGAAAAGCAATCGCGGGTAGAGGCGCCACCTTGACATTACCGCACCAAACACCAAATTGTCATATTGTCATAGATTTTAGCGGCGTCTACTAGGTACTACGTGATTCCTTATCAGTAAAAGTCAAGTACATTGTCACCTATGGGAGCCATGCATAACAAACGTATAAATTTTCACAATGTTTCATCCAGCTAATGTGGCGAAAACAAAAAAAAAATACATATTGAAAGTGGTGACATTGTGTGCGACGACGTCGGCGCAAAACATCAAAGTGAGAGTCCCTCGATTTTCTTCTCTAATAAGGAGGTTACGATGGTAAAACTTCCGGCATTAGAGTTGTCAGGGTGCATGTGTAAACAAGGCACTGTTTCAATTAGTGTTCCTTTAAAACACCAGGCAGCCGAAATTAACCTTTTGGGCCTTGTATCAGCGTGTCTCAGAATCATAACAAAGAGTAACGTGGTGAAGGGGCGCCTTTTAGAAATGAATAAGACGTGAAGCAACACACAGCGTTGGACACGGTAACAATGGATGAAAACGCCGAACCTAACAACCACTGCTTTTATACTTGGAAATGCAATATACACAAAAGCAATGCAATACATAAAAACAACACAAACAAAGCAACCACGCTATTCGAAAGAAGGAAAGAAGTCGTCGTACCAGAGCCGTTGTGAAAGCGGTGTGAAAAGAATGCTTAGAACGGGAGCTCAGCCGAAAATTGCGCAAAGACCGATTGCTTCGCTAAAATATTTCTTATAGGCGTAACCTTCTAAGTAATATAAGTGACAAGTTCACAATCGCACTTTCTGTATTTTATATTCGTGGCTTATTTAGAGCATCCTGCCTCGCAAAACGACAGCGAATAATCACTGACATGATGTTATAGAGTGAAACTCATTACTGTGTGTGACGCTACTTCTTTCTGAGTGCCAAATATCCAGTGCCATCGCGGCATCGTAGCGTGAATACGCATCGGGGGGGGGGGGGGGAGATTTAGGATTCTACAAAACTTCGATGGTGAGAAAGCTAAGCCCTCTGCGTAATCGTACTCAGAAGGCACTTGTACATTTCCTATTTGATCCCTGTTTTGACCGATAAGAAAGATTCCGCTTATTGTCCCCAGAAATGAGAGATAAGCGCAGATAAATCATGCATGTGTTCGGCGAAGTCCTCATATTTATTCACCGCCAAGCTGCAGTGCTGTCCCCTACGGTGCAGGTATATGGCGTTCAAGTGCAACGTCTACTATTGCATAGGCTTCAATAGAAAGTCTAGTTCTTAACACACCACCTGAAAAGAGTGGTATACACAAAGTTATTGATATAATGTACTAGCAAACAACTCAAAATTTATGCTCAGCCTTTTGTAGCACAACGTAAACACTTCTTTAATCATAACAATAAGTAAATACATTTACCTGCATGTGCCTATTTCTACCTGAGAATAAAAGGTCCAAAAATTCAATGTTGCAAGTATGTAACAATGCGTGTGTTCATCAAACTCCAGAATTGAACGCCATTTTTGGTTGTGTGTGGTGTGTATGTTTCTGAACCAAGGTAAAGTAGATATACAATGAAGACAACAGAGTGACACCCTGGCAACAAAATGTCGTAGGTAAAAATGACAACAGCACGGAAAACTATGGCGGTCGCTCACCAACGCAGGAGGCATGACGTCAAAAATATACATCACTGGCAACGAAGGTATTACCTTTGCAATAACAAGTATATGGCATGATGAGTGAGGTGACGTCACATGGAACGATGCTTGACTATATGCGGCGATACGTATGTAAATAAATTATCAAACGTTACTGAGAATCACACAGCGTTAACTAATTGCGTGTTATTTTCCACTCTTCACCACAAACTTGGAAAGCATTGTTTGGAAAAACTAAGCACTAACTTGCTTATCATTGTGTAGTGCTATTGAGCGCTGATTCGATTTTATGAGCGTTACTGTACACTATTGAGTATTTTATAGAGCACTATTGGGCGCTCCCTTAGCTTACTGACAAGTGGTCGTGTACCGAATACTTTTATGGCTTGTTTAAAGATTACGCAAGAGCCTCACAATAACGATTGCTTATTGGTCTGCTCTGACTGCAATGGAAGTGATACAAAACATGCACTGTTCTCTCCTCGTTTCGCCTCAATGAAACATAATTACTTTCGTGGTTGCTCAGTTAGTCGCTCCTGGCAAAGCAGCCTTTTCCTAAAAGCACACCACTTGGAGCATATTATAAACGACATGGTGGTTGGTAGAAGAAAACTGCTTGAACGGAGTGGAAGTAAGGTAGTTACGTGTGTGCGTTAACCGATTTGATCTTGTAAAGATTTACAAAAAATTGACAGCTCTAGCTTAACAGTTCCACTTTGTGCGCTGCTCGGGTATAACGCTAGTAATTTGAGAGGGGTACAAATGTTCCAGAGTATGTACGAGTGATATACAAAATTTCTCATATTTGGACTCATATGTATATTTAACAAGATGGAGGCCCTCTATGTTGTCTCTATTAGTGCATAATTAACCAAAAGTGCAACAGCGGAGAAGAACTTTGCAAAGCCTACTGAAGCATACGCACAAGATACCTTCATTGCTGTATCAATGAAAGCCTGAACACTATCTTAGCCATGTAATTTTACGAACGAAGCGCACAATGCAAATATGAGGCACGCCAAAGTGAAGAACATTGCGTCAATTCTGACTACATAGATCATATGGTAAAGGTGCAGTCACACTTGTGTAACGCATTTTCGCATTTTGTTCACTACGAATGGGGCCACCGTATCTACAACGTAAGCACTGACTGCCGCGGCAGATTTCAAGCGAATACTTCCGTTACATTTTTTACTGCATTAGAGTTTTTCTTAGCAGTAAGAAGTAACAGGCCCGATGTAAGTTTTTTTCCTGTCCCACGCAACGAAACACTAATTCGCTATTGAGAGCTGGCCACACACAATCTCGAAAGCGTGTTTTTTTTTTGTCCTGATATTGCCGCTAGTACTTCACTAAATTATGGCAAGCCGGAGCCTCCTAAACGATTCTCATTCGCCATGAAAAGACAAATAGAGTGGTCGATTCACGAAGGCAGGTAAAAGAAACACGAGGCACAGGTACCTTCTCTATGCACGTATCTCGTGAGTAAGGTGTGTGCAAGGTGTTCCAAGGAAGGAATGAATGGAATGGAGACAGGGGAGAAAGAAAAGGCAGTGATGTCAACCAGTCTAGAACGACTGATATGCTATCCTATGTGGGGGACAGAGCCGAAGAAGTTTGAAAGTTGGAGAGAGAGAGACAGAAGAGAGCACGCGCACTCAAAGTCACAGGTCTCCGTAATCCTAACACTATCAGTCTGTAACCACCGATCCAAGTCCGCTACCTTCAAGAAGATGAGGGCTGCTTTCGTCTTCTTCACTCGCGATGACGACTCTGGATGACATTCTAGAATGGTGTCCGATGTCATCGGTCTGCGATATATGCGAGATAGCGCAGCTGCAAATAATTTTATCTGCGCATCGTAGCGAGAAAAGTTGCAGATGATGTGCTATAATGTCTCCTCGCTATCACAGTTATCACAGAAGGTGTCTACAGTTATTTCGATATGAAATAAGAATGACATCGTGAAAGCCACTCTTAGACACTCTCACAGCCAAGTACAGTGGCAACAATTCGACGTAGACCAGTAGGCGTCTGTAGTCGTAAAGAGTTTGGGCTGTAGTGGAGTTGATTGCTCAGTCTGGTTGTATTCCAAGTGAAGAGAGTTATTGCCTGTGCGGCCAAGGCTGAAGAACAGCAAAAGAAAAGGAAGGGAGGGTGACCAGGCACATACCGGTTTGCTATTCTGTGATGTGGGAGTAGAAAATGGGAGTTAAAGGTGAGAGAGAAAGAGGAAAAAGAAGGAAAGGAGACAAGACAACGATGTATTGCTGATGTAACCCGTATGTAGCGCCATTACGTGCAACCTGTTATAGTCAAGGTGTTCCTTAATTGTATAACATTGTTCCTAACGACGTTATTTGTGTCCCCTCTGTCTACATTCGTAAATGGCTCACTGCATTTGCTTTTCGATGAAGAACCCTGAAGCCCGAGGTGCTAAGCGTTGACAACAGGGCTAGTTGGTTCTGCTGAACACTGTAAGAAATCGCACGGGTGAAAAAAAGAATGGGGAGTATGGGAGGAGATGTACAACGCCACAATAAGACACGCAGTTTTTATCTGAGTGTGGCTTTCCACCCTTTGGCTGTGTCTGTTGACAGCTCGACATGCCTTACTCGCAAATGTCACCACTGTAAGGTTTAGTTGCGCTATTAATAACGAGAACCACTTCCTGCGTTCACGTTGTATGAAGTGTTGGATCAGAGTACCTTCGCTGATTATTACGACGAAAGAGGTGTCTGCCTCCGGACTAAACAACCGTTGTAAAGCAATCCTTGACCATTTATGGGGACTCCGTTATCTACCGTACGAGATGAGCGTACCAGCAGGCGTCCATTAGGACATCCAAAGCTTTGCGAGGCGGGAGCTGCGAGGTAAGTGTAGGTTCTCTGCGAATGCCTGGTGCTACTTCAAAAAGTTACGAATGTCCAACTTGCACAGTGGTTGCCGAGAAACGGGGAAACAGAATTTTATTGTGAATTATAAGTACTCCATTTGTTGCCATGATGCACTGCCGATCCGCTGGATACTCCTGGTGAATTCAGCTTGTGACAATCAGTCAGAGTTATGTATTATAAGCGCTTCGATCTTGTAAATGCGTTTTAATGTGACCTGCAGTATGCGCTCCAGCAAGCTCGTGCATAGATTGCCTAATATTGCTTTTGGTTCCACTTTGGCTACTAATATTTTTTGCTTCGTCAAATAGGTAGCTCTTATGGCATGGCCATATTAAAAAAAGTCTTCTCTTTGATCGATCTGCTTCTAACGAACAACCAGAACTCATGTTTCCGATCGTGATGCCGTCTGATATATATATATTTAGTGCAACAGAATCTAAAAACTATACACCAGAACTACAACTTGAAGAAGTATTTCTGTCGCATTTCCGGAAGTTCAACAATTCAAACACATAACTTGATGAGCCGAAAACCTGATTATTTACTAAACTAACTCTCCTTTGTAGACTGCCACCTTCGTTTTTTTTATAATCTGTCCATCAATGCTCCCTCTGGTGCTCTAACTCATCTCTGTTTCATTTTGTTCATTGGGATTCAATGTGTATATTTCTTCTATAAGGATTACAGCACGTGATTCGACACACAGGTCTCTCCAAATCTGCTGTCGGTCTCATCTAACCAAGATGAATTCCTTCGAAAATATCTGTAATATAGGGACAACTGAAATGCGAAGGGCAGGTCGCGGGAACAAATCCCGGCTGTGGCGGCTGCATTTCCGATGGAGGCGGAAATGTTGTAGGCCCGTGTACTCAGATTTGGGTGCACGTTAAAGAACCCCAGGTGGTCAAAATTTCCGGAGCCCTCCACTACGGCGTCTCTCATAATCAAATAGTCGTTTTGGGACGTTAAACCCCACAAATCAAATCAATCAAATCAATGTGAAGGGCGTCTTCTTTTTCTTCTCAATCAATGTATTCATTCTTCTCCATCTGTTTTGAGACATTTCTGAACTTAAGACTTTTGCACTGCCTCGTTTATTTGATGCCTTCCAAACAATATGCATTTGACCCAATTTTGTACTCCCTCTGTGACTGCTCCCTCCCCCGTCGTCGTCATGTCACCCCAAATTATCAAAACGTCACAGTGGTGCCTTGACGACGTCACAAATTTAGGGATCTGTAACGTCGGTATGACTTCATTGCCAAAGATGCTGTGGATAGTCCATGTTTATGCATGTATCACACTCGACTGAACATATAAGAATTTCCGTGTAATAAAAGAAATATAAAAAAAACGCGTGCGTTTACCTGCACTCCGTGTTCACGTACCACAAGGCCCCTAATCATACACTATGGCTACCTCAAATTCATTGTGAAAGCATTCCAGGGAAGGGTGACATGACGGAAGTGGTTGATCTCATCGGCCACTTCGGTCCCTGGCAAGCCTGCTTGGTGGCCTACATCACCTACCGCGGCATACTGACGGGTCTCAACAACCTGGCGTACGTGTTCTCGTCACCGATAACGAGCACTGGTGCTCGCGCCCGACTCTACCGGATGGCCTACTCGCGAACGTCAGCGACGCGGAATGGAAGGAACAATTCATCCCGTACGACAACGTGTCCGGGTCGCACAGTCAGTGCTCCATGTATGGCTTGCTGCAGAATTCGACGAACGGTGAGATTGTGCCGGACTACACTTCGCTCAAGAGTTGTGAGGCGTGGACGTACGACGAACACGTGTTTGGACACACGATGACGGATGAGGTGAGAGTTATTCAATTGCGTTACCTGTAAAAATTGCCGACATTGTCTTGAGTGTTGCACTACAGCGAACATTCTACCTCTGTGCCTGCTTTGGGGCGTAAGATTTTAAAAATTATAATTATGTGTGAAAGAGCAAAGGAAAAAAGATGAGAAAAACGAGTAGCCCAAAACACAGCAGTAGTAATAGTGAGATAATTGTGGTAGCCGTAAAGTGAGATCTCCGACTTCATCCTCTGAATTCTGTCCGCTTTGTGTGCACGATTACATAATTGTAATAACAAATTCCAGAGAGTTTCAATTTTTTTTCGCTTGGGGGTCTTTCACAAAGCCACTAGAATGAAGCAGATTAAGAGCTATTGCAGGTATTACAGCGTAATTACACTACCATACTTCCTAAAAGATAAGGCATAGATGTCAATGACGGCCAGGGCCATGAACAAGTATGTTTGCTAAGAAATGGATGCCTTGCTACAAAAGTGGACGTCTCCTACAATATAAAGGTGTGGTGTGACAAAGACAGTGGCGATAAAAAATAAGGAGTTAAGTATGAACTAACCATTTCTTTTTTTGCGTTGTTTTCATTGCTGTGAATTTGAAGTGTCCAATCGTGTGTTAAAAGGACCATCTTGGGCTACACAAAAGCGCCAACATGTCCTAAATATCATAAAACAAAGAATATTTGAATAGTTCACTTAAGCAAGAAGGTATCTGTGGTACATACATTTTGTGACAACAGAGCTGGCTAAGATGACACGGTAGGCTTATCTCTTTCCTTACAAAAATGTCTTACAAAAATGTTTTCTTTTCGTACATAAATTTCGTGGAACAATTTAACTTAACAAAAAAAAAACGAGAAAGTTGACCTTTCCACGTCTTCTCTTTTCCAGCATAATTGCTACCGGACATATCCACTCCTTAAATATTCATGTAAATAATGCCACAGGTGCACCTATTTTTGAAGAAGATCGTGGCCGTGACGTTGCATATCGGCGGCAGCGAAATAGTAGTGTACCATGCACGTTGCCTAGCTTGTCAGTGCGCGTTAAAGAACACCAGGTGGTCGAAATTTTCGGAGCCCTCCACTACGGGGTTCTTCATAATCATGTCGTGGTTTTGGGATGGAAAGCCGCGTTTATTATTAATATTATTATTATTATTATTATTATTAACGTAATCATTAAAAGACTACCCTGGTTGGTCAGACTTCTGGCCAGATCACTCTGTCTGAAGAGGAAAAATCGCGTAATTTCTTGTCACAATCCTAAGTGGGCTTACATTCTAATGTCTTGCAATGCGATTTCGTTTGCGTACTTCCCTGTTATTTTTCTGTTTACGTCTCGCATGAGTAGACATTGCACAGCGTACCATTACAGGTGTCCGGTAAGCTTGCGCAAACCATTAATGTCCATCGCTCCTAAGAGGCAGTCACCTTTGACTGGGGATGTCTCGATTTCGTCCACAGTGGTCTAACCGTGATTACGGTGCTCGTTTGCTGTCCCGAATAGCGCTAGTTTGATTGAGATCACGCCAGACCCATTTCGACGAAAGAAAAACGCTACATTTTTGGTGTACTGTGCAATGCCAGTGAACGTAAACGATTTTTTTTGGTCACGGATTCTTAAATTACGACGTACCTACTATTGTCAGAAGTTCTTTAATTATCTCTTACTCGTACAATTAGGAGGACCTTCTCATCGTGATTTTGAGTCAGACACAAGGAAACATAAATTGTCCATGGTGTGTCTTTACTACGACCAATATTTCTTTGTTACAGTGGAATCTCGTGTGTGAAAATACGTGGAAGCGGTCCCTTATACAAAGCACATATATGGCTTGCTTGATGTTGGGAATACTTGTCATCGGTAACGTGTCAGACAGGTATGTGTTTTCTTTATTTCAAGATAAATGAAAGTAGAAGGCAGACCATGCTCATTCAAGACTGAATTCTCATTTTTCCTTTATGTTTTCAATGGAACGTCCTCAAGAGTTTCATTACAGCCTAGAGATGAAAAGCTTTATAAACTGCCCTTAGGCAATGACACCGTTCGTCTATTAAGTCACTGACAAGCATAGGTTGGGAAACATAGAGGGAAGTCAGTCAGACTCACTCAAGAAATCTATCTTCATCTTTGGACTCACTTACACTCACACTCAATAAAATTTTCCTCAACCGAATCCACTCGGACTCAGACTCACTAAAATATTACTCACCCGAATCACTCAGACTCACGCTCACAACTCGATATGAGCTTAGTGTGTCCCAGTTAGTCGACCCACGAGTAAGTTGGCTGACATACATGGTGACAAGTAAACGGGGGAAAGATAGCGCAGGTAATGAGGTGCATGTAGAAGAGACAGTGTAGCTGAATTATTGACCACGTCACACTCTATAAACACATACGGGAATGAAATACTTAATGGTAAAGAGCAGACACATAAATTGCACTCGAAATAACGTGAATGATGTTTCTCCCGAGGACCAAGTAGGATGAATTTCTGAACTTCGTCATTTGCAAGAGGAGAGATCGCTTAAATGGATATTTGCTTAAATATGGAAGTGCACAGGATATGGCAGAAAGAGTAAGAAATGTTATATGCCATTCACGGAATTATTGAATTTAAGGAGTACGCCAATATGCACGAAGAGTGTAAATTTTGTAATGCTGCCGATTTGCTTTCGAAGAAAAAAAGTTTTGCAATTTTCATTCACAGTGTTGCTCTTAAGCGCAAGAAGAAACAATGCTGTTTATAGAGACCATGTTCTTTTGCACGCATTTTCGCACAGCCTGTTCTTTAGGCATGCGCTCTCGTAAATTTCCAGGTAGACTGGAGCCACAGCTAGAGCTACCAGATATAAATTTGCCTCTTTCAGTGTTGTAGAGCGTGACACTTCCTTGAACTTATTTGAGAATTGAGCAAGGATTCACTGATCAAACTCGTTCCTCCCAAATATTTGCCACTTATGAATTAGTATAATCGATTTTGTATTGCAAAGAGTTGAAGAAGAACTGGCGGACATTTTCTGAAAGTTGGTTGTCTTGAAATATTCATCAAATGGGCGGTTTTATAACAGAGAGAATACCACGTTTAGGCTCAATATTGCAGCGATACTGCCGGCGTGTACTTAAGTATTTCATCGACAGTGTACCTAAATATTTTTAATCTGCAGTACTTCAAATCGTTTCCATTGTTTAAGTACAGATAACATGAATAATGTCAATACCACCTTCACTGACTAATTAAGCATCATGAAATCTTTTGCATTTTAGATTTGGACGAAGGATCGTCTCACTCTTCAGCACCATTTGCTTGTGCGCTTCGTCATTTGCACTTACCTTCAGTTCAAGTCTTACCTTCTTTCTGGTCGGAAGAGTTGGTGTGGCCGTCGCCATATCTGGACTCCAGGTGGCCTGCTTCAGTCTGCGTAAGAAATATCGATTGCGTATTGAGTGCTAGCAGCACCATGAAATAATGTGCAGCAATAGAACTGCACTTGCAGACAATCTGGAAGCAACATTGTACGTGACGCTACAGTGGTTTCATGACTGCGCATGCTGCATGTGGTTTCGGTGGTGTACGTATAAGCTCTGCTAACGTTCGCCATGTACGGCATTCGGATGTGTGCAGTCGCCCGAATCTTTCACTATCGTTCGCTAAGGACAATCTTTTCTGTCTATCTTCGCCGTATGGCAGATTAAATGTTCAAAAGGGGGGAAGCAGAATACATGTCCACGCACTGTATGCCCACAAAATATTTTTTCAACTGTGTTTCATCATATACTGTACCACACACACACAAGGCGCCACAGCGCGTGATAGGTAAACATTTGAGTGAGTGTACCTATTATTTACGCTTCAAGTTTTCTAGATATTTTATGTGCTTTAAATAGGCTACCCAGCGTTATAACCCCACCCAGGTCCTGCGTCTTCGTGTGAAACGCCATTTAGCATTGCGAAACAACTTTTCACGTTTCCCAGTTTGACCAACCTTGCATTCTATGTTAGGGTAGTGACCTTTCTGTGCTGATCGATACCTCTACCTTCCACTGCCCCCGGTGGGTGAACCCCCGCTAACCCCCTCTCCGTGAAAAAAAAAGTTTGCCGGACTCTCTTGCTCAAGCTCCTTTATTGGTCGAGATTACAAGCTGCGAAAATAGTTACCATGCATAAAGCGTCTATCTTTTTCAATGTGGGTTTATTATAAATGCTTTTCTTCTTTATATAAAAATATTGAATAATTACGACAGCTTGAAGGTACGTGAAACAATAAAAATGGTCTGACCTGATCAATCACATCAAATGAAGATGTTTTAACGTGTAAAGGTAAACAGATAAGCTAACGAGCATACTTTTGGTTTTTATTTCGGCTTACTTTAGTCGCAGAAACCATTGGACCTAAATTTCGCATAGCACTGAACGTGTGCTATGGCTATGGATGGATAAGCGGCCTCCTCCTTCTGCCCGGCATTGTGTGGCTCGCCCAGGATTGGAGGAAACTGCTCATCGTTCAAGCAGCCTTCGCAGCGCCTCTCTTGTGTGCCCTCCCGTAAGTACACGGCTCTTTTCTTTTGTGACAGTAAAGTAAACAATCCTTCTTCGGCTGAACAAGAAAACGACGGAAAACTACATTACTTGAATCCTATTAAAATAATAATCGTTACACAATCCAGTGCCTAATAGGTGGAGGTTCACAAGATCAGCAAACGTGTCGAAAGGGCTTGACGAGGCCGACGCGCTCACACACTTGGCGAAAAAATTTGGAAGTCGAAGTGCTATCGCAAAAAATGAGACCAAGCAGAGGTCGCTGGACGCGTATGTTGAACACTACTTACCTTTCTTTCCGTCTTTCTTTTCTTATTTCCTTCCTTCTTTCCTTACTACCTCCCTTCGTTTTCACTAATTCTTTTCTTTTCTCCGTTCTTTTCTTTGTTTCTTCCTTCCTTTCTTCCCATATTTCTGTTTTTTCCGGCGTTGAACAATGCTCTATCCTACCCTTTTATATCATTCATGCCGGGAGTTTCACTTCATCCTCGTGCTTCACAGAGCCAAATTTACCCTGCGATCAGCAAAAACGACGTTCATAAGCGAAAAAAAAGAAAGATAGAAAGGTTGCCATAGGATGTGGCAACATAAAATGACAGAAGACCTCAATAAGAGATCACATTACCCTGTCACACACACAAAAAAAAAACTGATCGCCGACAAGACGGGAACCACGTAAACGAATGCTTGCAGACACGCTAGTTACTACAGCACTTTCTGAGGCCGCCTTTATGTACGTTCACCGGCGCTAGTTTCTTAATCTGTGACGCCGAAATCATAGAAATCCAAACCTTTTACTGCTTCCGACAAACCGTGGAGGCCCGGGTCTCCCAGACATACCAACGTTCACGAGAGCACTGGCTGCAAAAACAACATAGAAGCTCTTCGATGACGGAAATCATCTCGGATACAAGCTATGAATGCACTGGAGTAGTACACTAAAACTCACGGCAACTCTGTACTTTGTTTCATGAGCAGGAAAATCCGCTCAACTTTTATAGAGCTGCTAGTGGCTTAAAAAGAGCAATTGAATCAGTAGGCTCATGTAGTCTGGAAGATGTTTCATCACAGGAAATAAGTTAAATGGTGAGAAGTCGCATACAGAGCAAAATGGAAGAAAAAAAATCCTGCATGGGAAAATTGGAAACATAGGTGTTGCAATCACGTACTTGATGAGGTGCGCGAGTTTGGTTCCGAAGAATGGAGGGAATTGCCTACACGTGAGAGGTTAGCATGATAGCCATTTTATATGACCGCTGTCCAAACTGCGGCAAACTCAAGACGACACAGCATGGTAGGTTCGATTGCTCGCTGATGAAAGGCATTCTGGCACATTGTGCAAGGGCTCTTTGGCTTTCGCACAACCCACATGGAAACAGAACGTGGGCTGTTCACAAGACTTCTCTTTACACTGACCTTGTACGTACTGTGGCGGTGACACAGTTTAGCGGAAATACGGGAAAAACCCATAGCGGCGCCTACCGTGCGCTCTTGTAAACACGCCTCATTGTGAGGAAATACCTCGATGAACACATGGAAACACATGGCGAAGAGGCTTTCCTTCTATGAAGACACACACGTTTCCTCATAGTAACAACGGGACAGCTGGAGCTTCCAGTTGTTCTGTACTAGCCAAGAGCATGCTCCAGTACACATGAATGCGTGGTATTCTCTTGAATGTGCACTATTCCATCCATTTTATTATTCTTTAACTTGTAACATTTGTTTATGCAGATAATATGATATGTGGGGTTGAACGTCCAAAAACCACCGTATGATTATGAGAGACGCTGTAGTGGAGGGTTCCGGAAATTTCGACCACCTGGGGTTCTTTACCATGCACCGAAATTGGAGCACACGGGCCTACAACATTTCCGCCTCCATCGGAAATGAAGCCGCCCCAGCCGCGATTTCTTCCCGCGATCTGCGGGTCAGCAGCCGAGTATCTTAGTCACTAGACCACCGCGACGGGTCATTTGTATATACAGATATAAATAGGTGTTTATTGCTAGTTTTTAAGAACCTTACTCTTTGTTTACTTGTTCTCGTTTTTGTTGTTTCGTTGGTTCATGTACAAGGTACGTGTGCAATAAAACTTCCCCTTCCCCTTTTCAAGTGAATCATATGAAACAGTCCGATATCACAGGATCCACCTTACGTTTATTGTGTCTTTTGTGTCACGTGATTACAAGTCTAGTAACTTGTAGTACAGCGAGCCAAATAACAAAAAATGGTAGAAGTTTTAATTAGGGTAAATCTTCTCTGCCATGGTGCACCGGGAAAACGGAAGCAATTCAGAAATAAATATGAACGCAAAAAGAGTAACATGAATAATAAAACAAGTACCTAAAGCGAAGTCCATGATCCGAATATTTTTCTCGAGCCCTCCATTGCGGCATCTCTCATAATTAGACTGTAAGTTAGGCTGTAAAATCTCACAGCTAATTTATAATGACGGTAAGCACAAAAAGTACAGGATACAGACGCAAACAAGTTGAAATTTTGTAGAATAGCTTCAATCATTTACACAAAAAGTGAAACAGTGAATGACCGGACCGCATACCTTTCCAATTTTCCCAAAGCACCAAGCAATATCTCATCTCTCACGGAACCTCCAGGTCACAGGTGTTCGAGGACCAACAAATCAGCAATAGTGATGAATGTCTAGCGCAAGTGCCCTTAAGCAAACGCAGGGCAATAAGGATGTTTGCGCATTCAATCCCAGGTGCAAATAAAACACCCAGAAGATACTAGCAAATGTTGATATTCATGACCTGAGCTACGTGTTTCTTGTGAGAGCGCAAGCCCCATCATAAAGATTAGCGCCTGGGCAGAAGTCATTGACACTTCAAGCAGCACCCCGTTCATAAGCTTGGCGCAGCACTGCATCTTCCAGAGAAGCTCAGTGTCAAACTATTTATCCTTACATTACATACTCGATAAGAAAGTGTATGCTCGCTATACCGTCCCTGCTCGACCACTGTAAAGTATTGTAGTGAATCGTGCTCTTAAGTTGACGCATTTTTGCTGGAATGCAAAAAGAAGCGCGCACTATAAAGAAAAGAATACATAATAGAACACGTCCGTCTGCCTGTCTGTGAAAAGGACATCGCCCCTTTTCCGAGGCCCCACTTTGTTGCTTATAAAAGTGATCAATTTCTTAGTTCCGTCCTGTCATCGACGTGCGATGTGGTTTTTAGAGAAGCTCTTATTTTCCAATTGTATGCGAGGCCTGTTAAATTTAATATTCACGAAATGCTAATTTCGCATCTTTATCGCAGCTGCAATTCGGTAGTTGATATCTCGTCGTTGTTCATGATGAATTGAAAACCTGGCTCCAATCCTGCTCGGACTCTATGTATGCAGTGTTTATTACTAGGCGCTGTCTCTCCTGAAACTCTGGCAGTATTATTCGCGTATCTTATAAATATAATGTTATATCTTATTACGTCCTAAGAGCATCGTATGCTGCCATTGTGAGGGTTTTGAGGGACATATTTAGGCTGCTTAGAGAAGATGTTAGCCTTTGCCACTATCCCAACTATTCTCTCATTTTTTATTTATTTACTCATTTATTTATTTATTTGTTTATTCACTCATTTATGTATTTATTTATTTTCCCACTGAAGTTATTTATTTATTTTTTGTTTATTTATTTTCGTGCCACCTCGCGCAATAGCGGTTGAATCTACTGACCATGGCTCGACATTTTCAGATGGCTGTACGAGTCACCCAGGTGGCTCGTAAGCGTGGGAAAACAAGCCGAAGCGGTCGAAGCAATCCGCAAGATTGCGTGTTTCAATAAGAAGCAACTTCAAGACGTCGAGAAGGAAGTGGACAGTCTGATGAAAAGGAAGCAGAACGTAAGAAGAACGTCTTCATATAGTTTTGAAATCGCATATTTCGGTGCAGGTGCTGTTGTGCCACACTAATAGTTGGCCTGTCTACATTCACAATAATATCTAGGCGTGAAGACACTGAGACATCCATATGCATGACAGCGCCTTGTTTATATTTTCAGGCTATGCAAGGCCACCAGAGCAATGTGTCAGTCATTGGACTTTTCAAGACTAAATACCTGCGAAGAAACACACTGGTGCTAGTCACCGTCTCGTGAGTAGCAATGAGATCGCTCAAGTGCAGTGTAGCACCAAAGTCACTGTATGCTTCATATGACCATGAAACAGCCCCATCTATTTCATATAGAGGCAGTTCCCGGTGACAGAGGCACAGCTGTGCATGAAAGGTGCTGCGAAAGCAGCTATAGTTGGGGTTTTCTGTGAGACAGCCTCATTGTTTCAGCTTTTCAGGTTTCCACAATGGTCTTTTTGCTTTCGGGCAGTTTCTTTAACATTTGGAGGGTGTAATCTGCCTGAACACGTATTCTGCTTTAAAATAAGCACTTGGCAGGAAAAAACAAAAGTTTTGCAGAATCCATGTACCATGAGAAAGTACGTAAGACAATAGAGAGGAAAGGCAGGGATGTTGACCAGTGCGGCATAAGAGGTATACTACCCTGCACAGGGAAGAGGGGTGGGAGAGATGAAAAAAGTACCATGGGGCTTGATGTAAGCGAAGCATGCGGAGGGCAGAGGACTGTGGTGAAATTTTATTTTTAAATAAATGTTACGTAATGACGCTCTTGAGATATCTAGAAGTGTGCGCTTTGGTACCAGTTTTTCGACAGTCGCATGCTGTTCATATAATCAGTTGTATACAGCAAGGGCTGACGCAGATTTATTTTTTTTTTTTGAAGGAGGAGGGTAGTGTGCACCACCTATAGGCAGATGTGGTTGATCTGGTCGAGCGTCATTTTGTGCTCTGTTGCATGGTGAAAAAAGTTTCAGGGAGGGGGTCAGGTACCCGACGAGCCAGCCCTGGCTATAGTTAACAGTTGCCTAACGCCGCCACCAGGAACATGTATATTACCAGCACCATAAGTGGTGAGCAGATATGTAGCGCCTGTGCTTTCTGGGATGGCAGCCCTGGATAGGGCCCCGTAGATCAACTTTAGTCGATGGCGCCAACAATTGACGTTAACTCAACGTGACACCTGTGTTATAGGCGTAGGTATGTAATTTTTATTTAAAAAGTAAGATGGTCACATCGCTACCACGATTGACACTTCATCAATATGACATCTGCATATGTTTTTTTTTTTCTGAAGCCGTTCCGAGACCTGGCTTGGTTCTGTGGTAGAATGCTTGCTCCACCGCGGTGGCCTAGTGGCTAAGGTATTTGGCTGCTCACCCACAGGTCACGGAATCTAATGCCGACTTCGGCGCCTTTTCGATGGAGACGAAAATGCTGTAGGCCCGTGTGCTCAGATTTGGGCGCACGTTAAAGAACCCCAGGTGGTCAAAATTATCGGAGCCCTCCGCTACCGCGTCTCTCATAATTATATGGTGCTTTTGGGACGTTAAACTCCACATATCAATAAATAAACTTGTGGAAACATGCTTTACTGCTTCGTAGAATGTGTGGGTACCATTTCTGCGGGTACTCTGGCATTTTTTTATTTGCATTCATCGGGTCATTGTTGCCTATGTGAGTTTTTCAACGCTCTCGCGTTAAGATTTGCAACTTGTGTTTTCACGGCTAATGGGTAAAAATAAACTATCAATTACCTGTGACGCACACCCGCCTACCACCACCTGTGTTATATTGACACATGAACCACATGCACATGAACGAAATGGTTTGATGACGCACGAGGCAAAGCTTTTACGTCCTTCAAGCCATGACTCAGTCACACATATTCTTCAAATCATCTTAAGCTCCTATACTAATTTTATTCTATCCGAAGTCAAGGAGTCATCACGAGAGCACTCTCACGTAGCCGGCGAGGTTGTTAGGTAGATAAATATATACGTCGATATAAACGCCAAAAGGGCAGGTAGTTGTCTAAGAAATGCTTTGCATTCAGAAGGTAGCTGAGGAAACGCAGGTTCTGGTGGTACCAGTAAAAAATACAAAAATGCAGGGGTTAACGAACTAAGACCAAGATATTATTGCAAACGTTGTAGCATGCGGCTTCTGGAAAAAATTTAGGGCATTAGTCTCTCCTTACGAGCACCTAGAATGTCAGTGCGTAGGAGCAGTTGCATTTCATCCCCATCGCAAAATGGCCGCCACGACCAAGTGAACATCTTTCGTCTATTTGCGTTAGATAAAGCTCTTGAAGTTTTGCGTAAACATTTTGCATCAGCCGCAAAGTGCCAGTGGTGATACCTTTAAGAACTAAAAATACGAGCTGTTACACGCCCATTCGCCCGCAATGGAGCGTGATCTACCAATAGCGCTAGGTTGCGTATTGAGCCCGACGCTTCGGCACCCACAGATGCTCAATTTCTCTTGAACTGTGAGCAGTATCTGTGTCCAGCTGGCTGCATTTTACCAGACCAAAACAATCGAGAGCAAGTATTTGGCGGCTGCTTTTAATACAAATCTATTCATGAGATCTTGAGATATTTAACGTCAATTGTCGTCATGATGGGAAATGCGAAGGATGAAAAGCTTCATAACTCAAAAGAAAGACACTGATTGTGCAAAAGCGACATACAAGCACGCTCATATAATCTTTGTAAACAAACCACATACACCAAGCACCAACTCAACAGGTCACAAATAAGTTCCTTAGGCGACAGGGAAGCTGATGAAGGTTTTGGAATTCGATAAAAATTCGTAGTTAGCACGGAGCTATGCTATTGCAAACGATGTAATTTTTACTATGGCTCTTGCAGCAAGAGCTCCAGAGTACTCGAATCAAGAGTAAATCTTTCTTCACCCATGCGTGCACACCAAGTGTCTGGACATGGAAACGTGCGTCATCTTCGGTTCCTTTGACGAAGCCGTGTTTCATTCCGACAGAACGTTCCCAGTAACTGCTTATTGATACGAAAACTGGGAGCGCTGCTTACGTCATAAATGTTCAGTAATTATTCAGTTACACAGGCAAGGTAGTTGTGGCTACGACCAATTGCTGTTAACTGCGTTGAGTCATGGTTGTGAACCAGGGTTCACCGAAGTTACACAGTGGGAAATCGTCCTCGGTTAAAGCAACTAACGCCACCTCCATGAATGGACGCCACCATTTCCTCGGTTAACCACCAAAGAGAACTGGTCAAGCTTGATTTACTACAACCGTGGTTACCGTGTTTTATAAGCGAATCGTGGTTAACGTAACCGTGGCTATGTGTAACAGTGGTTCGCATATGTTCCGTGGTACGGGAAACAGCGGTTATGATGCTAAGCATGGTTATAAGAAATATAGCTTGGCAATCTCCGTTTCACGGTGAACCGAGGAAACACCGGCGTCTCTGGAGGATGAAAAACTGAGGACACTTTTGAGCTGTGTAACATTGGTGAATTGTGGGCGGTCGTAGCCGTGGTTAACTTGTTCGTATAGGGTATAAGTATAGCGAAACTGACAGTTCCTCAGCTGGCTTACAATATCTGAATTTACGATGAAAACGGCGCCCTATGGGAACAGACGAGACGCCTGTTCACGTAGGGCGCCGTTGCCGCAGCTAATGGAGAAAGCCGCGTTTCAGAAATGCTGCGGTTGCAGATAACGCGCCATACCGAGGATGACGTCACGACATTCGATCAACATCTCACAAGTCCCGGTGGCTACAGCCTTTGTTAACTTTCAAAGAGTGCTGTTTGCGTTCACGTTTAAGAACTTTCACGTCACTATTCGACGACAGTTAAGCGCGAGAACAAAACGACGACACAGAGACAAGAAGGACGCGAAAGACACGTGTCCTTCTTGTCTCTGTGTCGTCGTTTTGTTCTCGTGCTATAACTATCGTCATGCCATACCAACTAGCCCAAGCTGCCACGCTTCTAAGTCACTATTCGAGTTCAGCAGGGATCGAACTGCCTGTACATGCGGCAAAGCCACATTTTAAAGAAAATGCTTGATTGATATGTGGGGTTTAACGTCCCAAAACCACCACATGATTATGAGAGACGCCGTAGTGGAGAGCTCCGGAAATTTCGACCACCTGGGGTTCTTTAACGTACACCCAAATCTGAGCACACGGGCCTACAACTTTTCCGCCTCCATCGGAAATGCAGCCGCCGTAGCCGGGATTCGATCCCGCGACCTGCGGGTCAGCAGCCGAGTACCTTAGCCACTAGACCACCGAGGCGGGGCTAAAGAAAGTGCTTTAGTTTCTCTTAAGCACCATGAGTAATGAAGATCAGCTCATAGAATACATAGACAGGTGGTCCAACTTTCTTTTAAGTGATTGATTTTTTTTACCACTCCCTGCTGTATATGAAGTGCACCTCGTCGAACACATCTACTTGTGACTCACCTACGTTTGCATGGTGGTCGCATTGTCGATGAACCGGATCGGGGTTCGCATGGTATATGAGAGCTTCAAAAATCCTCGGGACACCGTCAGCCTCCAGCGTTGGCGTGTTGCGTTTCATGCACTTGCAGTTTCCGCTGATGGTAAAATAGTAGGCTTCGAACTGTCTCATGCGCACACGAGTATAGTTCGACTCAATGTTAAAATCACCACTTTCCTACCTCGCTAAAGCCCGCTTTCATTTCTCGGGCTGCTGCTTGGCTGATGGCAAACGAAATGATATCTTTTTGGTTCTCGTGTAGCCGGAATCACAACCCGGCACGCAACACGTGTTGGGCATCTTCGTCCTGGGACAGCCTTTTTAACCACTTAAACACGTCATATCCAGCAGCTTTTCTTGCACTGCGCAAGCACTTCATACGCGGCGGCACTCATCGTGTCTGTAGCACAGCAGCGCCACGTTGCGGCATTTTCGAGCAGCGTATGAAGCGTGCCCATAGCGAGACCGTGCATTTTCGGGACCATGAGAATGACGATTGCGGCAGGGAGAAGACTGATTTAGGCGGGCGGGTCATTTAAAGCGAAAATTATATAATGTATTTGAAAAGGCCCGTATAGTTTCTTTGGGTACTCTGACCCCCGTATTCCCAAACGCTCCTCGACTTGAATTTCGTCCTGCACATGAAAGTGTTAGGCACTGCGCCGTTGATCGACTGAAAACGACACTGCCCTTCTTAAGAATCACTACAGATTATCGCCGACATGAAGTGACTTGCTCTGCCCAGAGAAAGCGCTCGCATCTATTTCCTTAAGTTAAGGCAAAGCGTTGAGTGAAGGGGCGGTGTGGAATACGGGGCTAATCCATTCTGCCCTGGCTGGCTGCCCGGCCTCGGTAAGCTGAGGCGCAAAGATAACAACGTGTAATCATGGTGAATAGATAACAGCAAGGGTAGAGGGAGAGTGGTTTTTAGGAATTGAAAAGAAAAGTGAGCCCCGCCACTGTCTAAGTGCGACTAAGTGCGCTACAGTTTTCATTGAATAAGTGGTGCGATTCCATGGCGTGGCGCACTTCTAATCACCCATGACTGCGAGTGGCTGCGCAGGCGGGGAAATAGCAACTCGAAGGAATCAAGCTAATTCGTGGCCACACAGGAGTGTTGCGTGTATCGCTGTGATAAGACCTGCAGCAACGCTGCCGGTAAGCTGCCGGTCAGCTGCAAAAAATGAATTGTATAGACTGGCATGGAAGGCTCACGAGCACGAGCGATGAAAGCGTTGGATAAGGTTGGCGTAATGTGCGAGTTACGCAAACAGTTTTCAAATTTTCAGCGGTTGGCATTATTGCAAATTTCTGTTCGCGAGATCGTTCAAGTGCCCCAGCGCCACCATACCATCTGTCGAGGCCCACATAAACATCTGCAACTGTTGAAATGGCTCTGTACGTGCTGTATTTGTTCATATACTTAGTGTCATTTAATAACATTCGATAACGAAAAATTACAGCACGGTCACTTTCCTTCGGCATGCTTTGCATAACGTCGATACCCTAGGTACGTGAGATGTGCGGAAATTTTTTGGAGGAAAGGGCGAGATAGGGAGGCGTGAGGATTGCACTGGCGCTGCCTGAACCAAGCTAGGCCTCACTGAGAAGCGTTTTATTACGGTGTGATGCCGAATAGTTAGTAAGGTGCCATCAAGCCGTTAGCGCACTCTCGCTGAGGTAAGGAACGCGTCGAAATACGGAAATAATGTACAAACTTCATTGGCGAAAAATTTCGGTCGCTTTCAGGTTTCTTTCTTACATAGTGTACTACGGGTTTGCGAGGACATCTACTACGCTCGGAGGAAATCCGTACCTCAACTTTGGCATCGCCGCCGGACTGGAGTGTGCAGGCTACACGGTGTCTCTGGTGACGACCAAATACCTCAGGAGAATTCCCACCATGGTTTCGAGCTACGGGTTTTTTAGCCTCACTCTACTCATCACCGCATTCACGCCGAGAGGTGGGTGCTTTGAATTAGAAGGTTACCGACAATACTTACTCAAGGGAACTGTGGCTCTGGGTTCATTAAACAACCATGGAAACGATAGGAGGGACATAGATTTGTTTCGTATGTGCTGGTGATGTGACTCGTTGTGCTGGTGAAAAGGTGACTCGTTGTAAACATGACGAGCTTAGTCGAATCGGTTAGCCAAACATGGTGAGAGTGGTGAAGAGGGAGTGCCTAATTTTTGCTTCGCATCGTCTAACGACGAAGTGGCTTTACGCGAAACAAAGCCGGATGGACGAAGCTTGGGCGAATTTGTGTATTACCCTTCAACCCAATACTGGCTGTAGCGCTGCGCGTTGCAGCTCCTTTGCACTTAAGCGCAGGAGTTAACTGTGGTGTACTATTGGGAAACTATGCTTTGAATAACAATTGTTAGCTGTGTTATATGAAACGCAGCCGCCGTGGTTCATAGTCACTGTGCATGGGTCGTTGACCTAAAGCTCGCGGAATCAGTACCTGTAGTCGTACATCGATTGAGGAGAAATGCTGGAGAACTGTGAGCTGTGCGATGCCATGACACAATTAAAGAACCCCAGATAGCCTGAATCATCCGGAGCCATCCACTTCTGCGTATCTAATGACCCTAGTTTCTTTGAGACGTCATACCACTTCAGCCAAACAACCAAACAAGCCGAAGCACCTTTCGTTGTCTCTTTAGAACGAATACAAAATCGAGCTGCCTGGTTCTACATGGGGGAGGGGGGGGACACAGATGGTTGTGTACCTGCCCTGGAATTATTGTGGAAATTTTTTTTAGAATCCATAATTGGCCACCGCAGTGACCTTAGAGTATGAGAAAGGAAATATATTTCATTTGCTATAATAAAATTGCGAGTAACCAGGCAATTAACCCAAGAAGCCTCGAAGGGCATTGATTGGTATCGCAATAACCCTGAAGTAACCTGCCAGAACCTACACGTGCGCTTCTTGTGTTATTTCACGAACAATTATTCATTAGAACGGGCTTACTTAATTGCATGCCACTGTATCAACAAAGATGCAGTTTACTTCATGTTGCGAACAATCCTCACATGCTGCGGGAAGCAATTTCATGCATACCTGTCACCGAGCAGTGTAGTGCACTAGTATTGAAGTAGGGTACGCATTTGGTCTGGCTGGTTCGTGATCTATAGTGAACAAAAAACAGCGCTAAAAACACGATAAAAAGGTGCCTTGGTATGCTTTCCGCGCAGCTTTTTTTTGTGTGTATTAGAGATCCAGAATTCTCGCTGTGAGCCAATCCTTGTGATGGGAATTGATATCCTAATGTAAATTAGGCAGTTATGCCCACATTCCTGCTCATTTATTCAAAGGGTGGTAGCATGGAATGAAATGCACGGGAAATAAATTCTGGAGGGTGAAAAGGAGGGCTGCTGCTGACTACATACTCCCCTCTGGTGCCATCCGTGATTTCCTTTGCTAACAATCCAGATAAGAAAAAAAATAGTTCTTCACTGGGGATGTCTTTAGGAGTAGTCGCAATTTACTCGTGAAGAAAGTAAGGTAGATGAACCGATAACTTGCTGTAGGCAGGGACGGAACTTGTGACATTCCAATGACGCATCTGATATTCTACCAACTGAGCTACCATGCGGATCTCCCTCCGTTCGCTTTAAGGGGAATGTATGTACATTAAACGTGGGATTATCAGTCAGCGCCACGAGCAGTCCATGATGGTGAGTGTGGTACACTAATTATTTGCCTATTCGGCGTCACGTAGGGCGTGAACTTATCACGAGCTTGAAGCTGACCACTAATGACTCGTATACTACCTGAAGGCACCAAATCTGCCAGAACGAGACCCTGCCTTTGAATGAAAGAAAGAATGGTACATCTAAGGACTCGCTTTCTACTGTGCGCGATACAATATATTGAAATATAACAGAAAATCATGCGAAGGCAAATATAGTTTCTTTGGCATTATTGTCTGCTAGATGTAAATATTATTGTGCCTAACAAACAAATGGAACGCTTATATGTACCTTTTTTTTTCCTTCAAGCGAATTCTTTACTCTTTTTTATGCAGAATATATGGCCGTGCGAACGACCATCCGCATGACGGGATGGTTCACGTACACTTTGGGCTACACAACGCAGTTCGTGTTTATCAACGAAATGTTCCCCACCGTCGCTCGGAGCGGAGGCTTCGGACTGTGCACAACTGTCGGCCGCTTGGGGGCTGCTGTCGAACCTTGGATCAATGTGTTTGTAAGAACAGTCACCTTATGGCTTTTCTTCGTAGCGATTTTAGGAGGACAACACTGGGCGCAGATGGCATTGTTACAAACCTGTGTAATCCGACCTAACGTACGTATAAATAAAGCATTCCTCTTGATATGTTCCAGTATGCTCAATATCACGATACATTTTCAGTACCGCTTTCCTCGTATCCATACGGAATCTGTAATGACTATAGTTTCAAGTGGATGGTGGAAAATGTTAAAGACAAGTGCACTGCTAGGACTCCTAAGTTACTGGCACCAGGGTGCGCGAATTAGTCTTAGCGCTAACCAATCATATTCAATATTACCACTCAATGCAAGATTCATAAAATGGCAATGCCTGCGAATAGCGATCGAGCGGATAGGTTTTAAATGAGGAATCATGCACCGACTTGGACAAGACGGCTTCTACAGAACAACTACTACTGATACTGCTACCTACTACTACTATCACCTCCACCACAACTACCACATCCTCCTACTACAACAAGAAGTGCTATTACTAGTACTACTACTACTACCTTCCCTACAGCCACCTCCACTATGCTACCTCAAGAACTACAACCGCTCAGTACTATTATTACTACTTCTAACATCACAACTGTTACCGCTACTACCTTTCCTAGCACATGTCATAATGTAACTACGCAAAAGGAAAAAAAAACGAAAGGAGAACAGGACAGGCAAGTCCAATACTATCATCTGAAGCTTTACAGAAAAATGAGGCAATATCAAGAGCAGGATAAACAGCGAGAGAGGGCAAAGGGGGAAGATAGAAAAAGGCATGAAAAACCAAATCAGTTACATTTAAAATAATTACCAACTTGCCTAACTTACCATTCTTCTGTAGCACATGCCGTACCACTAGAACCGCCACCACAACGAGTAAGACTGCCTCTAACAACTGCCGTTAGTTGTTAGAGGCAGTGTTACCACCGCCAAATGCTCTTACCACCACTACGGCTGCAACTACCACTACTATAACTTCTTCTGCAAGTTCCACGGTTAATGTGGTGTTTAACACTACTACTGCTATTACTACCATTTATACTACCACCAGCTTCACCACACTACAAGTTGCAGCACCCTAATCACCCTCACCGTATTCCTCATAACCATAACGAGCAACATCACTCCCCCCGCCCCCCCCTATTATCGATCTACTAAGAAAGCAAATAATTTACTACTACTACTACTACTACTACTACTACTACTACTACTACTACTACTACTACTACTACTACTACTACTAAAACTTCTACTCTACTACTGCTAGCACTATCAAGATCCGTCCTGAGGTTAGCTTCATGCTGCTTATTTTGACCACGAACAGCCTAGTAGACAGAATCAGGTGGCGAAAGGGAACAGTTAAGCGGAAGGCTTCAAACTTACATTCACAAAGAGGGCCTAATGCACGCTACAGGGAAGCTACAGATGTTCACCCCGTGATTTATGCTATGTGCAAACTGCAACAACAGGCTTGGCAAATCAAAACAACGCCTTTGTAACAATTATATTCAGTTACCTTTCCTCGTAACAGACTTTCAGTTTTCTCTATTTAATGATTATCAGCTATCCAGAAAAGAACATTTCATAGAGTTGAGAAATACTGCCTATACACTAATAAAGTGCCCTTATTTTTATTGTTCATTTCAGCTGATGTCATGGGGGGAGAAAAGTATCCTTATTCTCTACTCAGCGATGCTTTTTATCATATCAGCTGCCATGATTCTGCTGCCAGAAACGTTAGGCAGTCCACTGCCGGATACACTGGAAGAGGGCGAGCTCTACTCAGCGCTCAAGTGAGTTTCATGTTTATCTATCTATCTATCTATCTATCTATCTATCTATCTATCTATCTATCTATCTATCTATCTATCTATCTATCTATCTATCTATCTATCTATCTATCTATCTATCTATCTATCTATCTATCTACTATCTATCTATCTATCTATCTATCTATCTATCTATCTATCTATCTATCTATCTATCTATCTATCTATCTATCTATCTTATCTATCTATCTATCTATCTATCTATCTATCTATCTATCTATCTATCTATCTATCTATCTATCTATCTATCTATCTATCTATCTATCTATCTATCTATCTATCTATCTATCTATCTATCTATCTATCTATCTATCTAGCTAAATCAGCAGTCACAAACTAGAACTAGGCTCTTCAAAGTTGTTAAGGTTGCGAATAGAAGAAACTGCGCCAGTGGTAATGAACTATATCCAACGATAATCATTTCTGACAGCGACAAGCAAAACGACATGTCATTGGCTCTTTGGCACGTCACAATCCGTCATAAAATACCCGCGGAACATTGTACAAATGAAGCACTGGTGCTACGAAGTGTGGCATTACAATTAAAATATGCGTTAGCCGTACGAGGAGGGGAAAGGTATCTTGAGCAGCGGTGGAGTAGAACATGTGAAGTGTACAAAATTGTACGAAGTGCCGCCAGTGAGGCTTTGAAGTTCGATGGTGTAGCTCATCAAAAGATGTGGCTGGGCTAGTATCTTCATATTCCAGAAAAAGAGTTACAAAACTGAACCAGAAAAATTGAGCAGGGTAGGGAAATGTAATCTAATTGCAAGTTGACTGCTCCCCCATACATTCACCAACCAGAAGTTGTTTCTGATGGCTAATGAATTTCTCTAAAAGCTCAAAAGAATTTATTTGTAATTCGAAGCCAATTTGAAGCGTTTCCAGATTGCCAATAAAAAGTGAGCCTCATTTTGCGTAGTAGCTGGTGGTTTTTTTTAAACAAGCTGCTAATCTTTTACAACAATGAGCATCTCAGCACCTAGCTGAACGTGCGATTTATGTAGCTTGTTAAAACTGTAATTAACCCACGTCCCTCTTATATTAAGTACTCACGACCGCAGGGAACAGAATGTACTCTTTGTAATTCTGTTATCAAGCTGAGGAGTTTTGCAGCGTAAAGTTGGAGCTAATATCAGTGAAGGTTGCTTAAGCGCGCTTAAGCAGGGGCTGAGTACCTATGAATCACAGCACAGTACATAGGACCTGTACTTCATAGGAGTGCTTTTGAAGGCTGCTATTGTTGTAGTATTTTACGCGTGTGGCTTCCAATGTTATGATGACGCTTAGCACTTGTGGCGTCTGTGCTCAAACGTTTCAAAATATGTTTGTAGCAGAAAGCTAGTGGTTGTTCGTCGCAATGAAGGAGCGTATCAGACAGCCAAGCCAACACAACTACTTCACAACAATGGAAATGGACCACAGAACGACTGATAGCGGACAGGCTTGTCGCGAAAACTGATTTAAAATCTATTGTTTGTCCTGCTGGAGATACGGACGTGAGCCTAGTTCTTGGCGAAAACACTCGCTACCATGCTGGTTCTACCATGGATCCGCAACCCTATAGATACGCGCAATAGTGGTCATTGCACCTACTATTGCTGCTGCAGCAGTTCAATAAGCCATTGTCTTTTCTGTGGATGATGCGAAATTCTGTGTATGTCTACACAGTGAATTGTGTGCTAAAATTAAATGTGTTAGATTGCACGCGCTTATAATTTTCAGTTGTGTTCTTTTACCATTCAGTTTGAGACCGATCATCGTGAAAATGTTTGTAGGGAACCTGCACAAATCAGAATGCTTCAAGCTTGAATGTATAATCAGCTGCTACATAGAGGAACCTGCTCTCTCCTCAAGACGGAATGGCTCGGATTTAGTTTAATTATGGAGTAGGAGAGGTGTGCTAAATACCTGGTTCTACTAATCTGACTGCAAGCACATGAAAAGTTTCCACCAAAACCTCAATACATCACTCATGAAAAGTGAGCGCTAGACCTGGTGTTAAATTTATGAACACCATCGTATCTGAGACAACCCTATTAAATGGAAAACTACTAAGCTCAATTGGAATATTATGTGGTAGCGATATAGCTTTGTCCTGATAGTCGAGTCTAAATAATAAACTGAGATTTTTTCGTGAACTGTCTGCTTAATGGTTCATGTGAAATCCAATCTCCCCTTGTTCGAAAAGGAGAGTAAGCATTTTGTACGCCATTTCAGCAATTCCGTGCTGCTCTAAGATTCTCACACCAATTATAACAGGGACATCTAACTATTGCAGTCCCCAGGTCTGATACGTTTACGCAAGCTTCACTTTAGTTAATCCCTGCCTTTTGAGCTTCTGCATGGAGAGAGTTTCACATACTGCACAACTCTGAGCCGTCTCTAGTTAATTCGGTTAGATCAGCTACTTACGCTTCGATTGTCGCAGTTGCTGGGCTGTTTTAACTCCTTAGTTACGTTTTGCTCGCCTGTACTTCAAGGTTATCGAAGAAAATGAAGACGGCGAGAAGAAACAGAGATTCTTACAACGTTGTCGAAACCGAGGACCGCGAGGCGGAGAACAAGATCTGAGCCGGATTGTGTGGGCGTACGAGAAACAAAGAACTACACTGTGAATAAAGACCAAAAAAATATATTACCTGGCTACTGCGTTCAACTCTTCTGGTCCTGATCAAAACGCTTGAGTCTCTTTGTATTACAGCGTCTGCTAACATTCGAGCGCTTGATGTTATTGTGTTTCGTGCTTAAACAAAGCCCTTAAAGGCCTTCCATTCCATCGCAATAGTGTTAACGGGAACCTATTGAGGATGTCGTTGAGGGCGTTGCCAGTGTGACTACCCAAAAAGAGCTGTCCATTTTAAAGGCAGTGAAACATCACAGTGTGCTAGTGCCCATTTTTAAAAACACACTGTGTTTGTTTATTTTTGCGGTCTCCTTCATGCAAAACAAGCTGGGCACACATTAATCTTCCGTATACCATCTCAAAGAGCAGAAAACTGTCAATTCCAGCTGTCGAACATTTATTACTGTTCGAATGGTACTTACCGTGCGGCTACGGAGAGACGTGTCTTCTTTTAGTATTCAACAAGACCAAGTCCCAAGAAATCAGTATGCGAGAGATACAGTGCCCAGGCATACGACCTTGATACACTGCTCCACATTCTCTCATCAAAATGGAAGACGGGGCGACAGTGTATTCTCCGGACGCTGCTATTTATTTCACACCTGTTGCGTGTTGGAAGCTGCTCAACCTAGTTTCAAGCCCGAACAAAGCGAGCAGTTTTACCACTTCATCCTAAAGCAAAACTGACCAGAGCAGCATGACTTCCTTTCGGAAGCGAGGCCATTCATTTTCGGCGTCTCTCCTTTTTGACGTTTCAGTGCTCGGAACACGCCCAATGTCAAACAATTATCGCCACTTGTAACGTGCCTGGAGGCCATTGCTGTACCGCATATTGTGGCGTGACTGGAAATTCTTAGCTGCTGCCTTTTAAAAACCAATCGAATCTGGTTCTGTACGCATGTGGGAGAGACAGAGATACGTTTAATGAATGCAGTAGAGATTTACTTGGGATTTAGAATACCTTATGATTCCGTCTGAGTGCGCAAAAATAAACTGATCTACAGAAGACACAGAATAAGATATCTGGGGCAGGTAAGCACAGTGGGCACGAAGTCTGAGGGGAAGCAGCTGAACCAGTGACATTCCTCTTATCTTATTGCAACTTACAACCTTTCCTTGCCTTTGCCAGCTCTTCCTAAAATTATGCTATACAAGACTGTGCTACGTTTTACTCACTGACATTCTTATTTCCTTCCTCCTCGCCATCACTTCCCTTTCCAGGACCTTGCCATGGTCATGCTTTACTATTCATTCGTATGCTTGCTTTCGTTGTCTGTCTACTTTATGTCGGTTTCTTTCTACTTATTTGTAGGTGCATCTATTTCTACCTCTGTCTTTCTGAATTTAGCTCTCAATCTTTCCTTTCTTTCTCGATCATTTTTTATCTATCTCTCTTTCTCTCTCTGCGCACTTGTTCTTTCACAAATCAAAGTTGTTGCATCCCACACCAGAAAAAGTGGTACACATTGGAGCGAAGCAAAAGAGATGTAAAAGAGGACGAATAAAGGGTGCGTTGGTTTGTGCTAATAGTTTCCAGGTGGCCCAATACGGTATAGCGAAATCACAACGATTCCGCTGCAAAAGAAAACAAATGACCTTTCAAATCCCTCTTAATATATTGTTAAAAAGCGAAGCTGAAACATGCTGCCGTGATATCACTTGGTTATTCTCGATGGGTCATTAAGGTCTTTCTAAGTAAATAATTAAGTTTCTTTAAAAATCCTAAGTTGTGTACTCCATCTGTGGCAATTTCCTTTGTTTGCAGTATGAGTGGTGAAACGCGCGACTTTGCAAAATAAATGCCATTTATACTTTTGGCCACGGAGAAATCCTTCTTTTTTATGGTACCAGTAGTGAGTGGTTGGATTCGCGAAACATTGATTGAACGTGCATTTTCGCTCACAGACGTCTTCATTTTTAGGAGGCCAATGAAAATACTGAAACTTGCCAGTTTATGTGGCACATACGCGCGAAAATGTTGTACATATACCAAGGAACAGTGGTATATCGTGTCATTTATACAGGAACCTACAAGTGAACTTACGAAAGACCAATTTTGTTTTCGTTTACCTATACATAGCTTTGCTAAAAACGCACCTAACACATAGACGGCACCTAACACAAGGACTTCAAGCAAACATCATGCCAAATAACTAGAATGTCTGATTGAGAACGATCTCTCACACAAGAGCCGCATCTTTTTTTCTGTGTGCTTAGCGCACAAATGACAAAATTGTGTGCTACATCATGCGTTGGGAAGGAGTTAACACAGTATGTTTCATATGGAAAAAACGCATTGAGCTTTGCTTAAACGTAATCTGGAGGACCCATTCATTGCGAATTGTGAATAGTTCGACACTGTTAAAAAGTGTCCTTAGCCCCTAAACTACTCTAAAGATGAAGAAATTTACTGTACACAATGTGCTGCAGTCCCACAGTTTAACTGCATGCTTATCGCTTTAAGTGTGAATATTTTCGCACCAATTTTCGTTAGTATCTACAGGTGCCCACGAGTAGCCAATCGTACATTTTCTGTATACGGAGAGGGACAATAGGTACCTAAAGTAACAATGAAACGTATCTTTTTGGAAATCCCGGCTAACCTATCATACAAAGTTCTCCAAAAGCTTCTATACTTGCAGTGATGGTAGACCATGAACGCCAGCATGGTCTGCCATTACCCGAAGCACTCTGGAAGTATAAGCCCTGGTCACACCAAATGTTCAAGAGGCCGCCGTCAGCACTGATTGAGGGCCTTCAGGTTAGGTCACAGAAACATCCCTTTTAGCACCAATAATAGTTTCGTACTATAACTGCTGAAGCTATTGAAACCTGCTGACCACGAAGCGAAAATGAAGATATCGAACACAATGAAGTAAAAACCACAATTCACGTGCCACAATCACTGCCCCGGCTGTTGAATTACCCAATAATGCGGATATAATCGGTAACGTTGACAGGAGAATGACATTGCTGTAGCTGTATCGGTAGCAGTGGACGTGTTTTGCGGTAATATTAAACAAAAAGTGTTTTCCTTTTTCGTCCACTTTTCCTGCATTCGCACCATCATTTCCACATTATGATTCAAAGACCGCCAATAATGCCCTCACGCTACCAGTGGCAGCACATAAAATTTGTTTAAAAAGGTTGTTTATAGCGAAAAAGAAAACGTGGCTCTGATCGACAAAACTACATTGTTTACAGCCGAAAAATGACATTGCCAAAGCAACGATTCTCATACAAATGAATCCTGGCTGCGGCGGCTGCATTTTCAATGGAGGCGAAGATGCTGTAGGCCTGTGTGCTCAGGTGTATGTTAAAGAGCCCCAAGTGGTCAAAGTTTCCGGAGCCTTCCACTACAGTGTCTCTCATAATCATATGGTGGTTTTGGAATGTTAAACCCCACAAATCCATCGATTCTCATAAAAGTGCGTCGGCAAGTGTTGTAGCGTTGATGCGCGCTATTTAAAAAAACGCCTGCCTTTTTTCTTTGAAATGCATAGTAATAAACATGGAACACCGATATACAACTTATGCCATTTTCACCGTATGCGTCTCCGAACTCTCGATGAATCGACACATTGCATCGCGTACTGCTACTTGGTGCCTCGCATATAAATGAACCCCAATTGGTTGCAGAAGCGCCGACCAGAAAAAAAGAGAAACGAATGTGACAGGAATTCGAATGAGCACGGCAATCAAGTACCTTCTCGACGCCTTATCCACGGCACGCCGTGAAAGCATTGCTTGCGAAAGCTCAGTTTATGCACAGTAACATCGGCGGTGCAGGATGGTCGACGTGTGGCAACGTGCGGGTGACCCAACCGGTCTGGGTGGCGGCTGCTACATTGAGATGATTGTAGGCTCCTGTCTCGCAGTAACAGGCTGCCGTGCTTCTTCGGCAGGAAATGAGTGACAACCACATTCCACTACACTGCGGATATGAACGGCTCGTAATTACAAGTTCGGGGAGGCAATTTCCCGACTGCATGGGTTTCTGTGTAGACGGAGCTTCATCGTTAAAACGATCACGATTAGCCGTATCACCTGGAGAAAGTGAAGAATAGTTTATTACCTGGATGATAGATAACACATGTGCGCCGCTGTCATTAGAGCACAAGTACCTGTGCAGTTATTCGCACCGCAGTTTCTTGAAGACGTACATGTGAATTGTAATGAGCAGGCGCAATTAAGTTCACGATTGTGTTTCACGAGTGGATGCACGTAGGGTTGGCGTAGTTAAAGAACCGCTTGACTGCTTTATAAGTGCAGAATCGTCTTAAATGTTGTATGTATGTATGTATGTATGTATGTATGTATGTATGTATGTATGTATGTATGTATGTATGTATGTATGTATGTATGTATGTATGTATGTATGTATGTATGTATGTATGTATGTATGTATGTACGTATGTATATATGTATGTATGTATGTATGCGTGTAGTGTATGTATGTATGTATGCGTGTATGTATGTATGTATGTATGTATGTATGTATGTATGTATGTATGTATGTATGTATGTATGTATGTATGTATGCATGCATGTATGTATGTATGTATGTATGTATGTATGTATGCATGTATAACACACGTGCATGGCGGCATGCCTCGTTTCAATACTTACGATAAGCTTTGCGGAAGCCTCAAAAAAGAGTCACTTCTTCGAGAGAAATTATAAAAACACCTTCCGCTGCCACAACGCACTCACACTGCCACCTCCATAGCTCTATGTATGTGCTGATGTAACACACAAAGCTGACTGCGATATTTATCCTGAGGTAGGTTCAAGAATACAAGTAGATTATTATTTTTCGCGAATACTTGCCACTTAGTTGGGGAAAGTAATTATTAAATTATTCAACCAAACTTTATTCAACCAAACATAGATCACAATGGAGCTAGGCACTCGGTCATCTTGGCGAAAAATTTACAGAGGCACGGTGAATATTGCTGTAGTTTATATATTAGCAAATAAAGAGATGTAAGTTCAAGGAAGCTAGTGTTTT